GGAAAAGTGGGTCAAAAGGGAAATTCATTTACCGTCATTACAAAGACACTTGTATTTCTTTGAAATAGTGAAGCTGGACTTTGGCAGTGAGCTAATCATTCCACTGTTGCTACAGTGATGCACAGGTACACATGCATCAATACCATGATAAACCTGTTTGTTTTACTACCAGGATAGTTTCTACTGACTCCATCACAGAGACTGATTACTGATGACTCAGATAATTGAAGTTAGGTTCAAGTCTGTTTCCTGTGCAGCGGCATAAGTCAGCCCTGTTAGCAGCTTGATTAAAGCTTTAGTACCATCCTACCATCACCTACTTCACTGGTGTGTATGTTCGCTTTAGTGTGCTTGAATCACTCTGACAGGATATGGTATCATTATGTTTAATGTGCAAGTCTCATTCAAGACCATTTGAGGTTACACAAGTGACAGCGTGACGTAATATGCTCATAATTTAGATGACTTGTTTATGATAGTGACGTGTTGTTTGGTGGTAAAATGTTGAGGTTTTTCTTTGTTAGCTGGCAACTGCTGCTGAACATGTTCCAGTGATGTGTTCAAGTAGGGGGATGTTCAGGCACTGTCAGACAGCCTGACGCGGGGTGTTGTCGTCCACAAAGGAAGGGCCCTGGAATGGAGGGAAGCCGAGGGGTCGAGAGGGCCCTAGCAGACAATGGACAGCCAGCCAGCATGAGGAGGCCAGAGTAAAAGGAAAAAAACAGTTCCTGTCTGTCACTGGTAGCTGAACAAACTCCCCAGCACTTTCCTCTTCTTCTCCTCCTGTGCCTCATCTATAATCAAAGTTGTTTTTTCTGGAAGGGGTTAAATGTGTACATCTTAAGGTCTTCAGCATTGTTCGCTGTGATTAACTAACATCTGAAGTGACACGATTTCCTTCTCAGGAAATACACAGGAAAAAGCATGTGACGTAGAAAGAGAGAAATTTCCAGTGCACGGTACATTTCAATGTCTCTTCCTGTCTTGTAGCTCTTACAGCTGAGTAGCGACGTGCTTCGTGTTTTTCAGAGGAAGCAGTAAGCTGCCACATCTGCATATACTCACGTAAACCTCATGCAGTTGGTTGTATTTAGGCCGAACTTCAGGTGGATGGAGCCCATATGGTGGAGACTGTGCTTCCCTCAGCCAGGGAGGAGATGAGGGAGCTTTTGAGGGTGGGGTCTAAATGGCGTGTATTTTTAGGTCCTCTATCCTTTACGTTTACTTCCCTTTTCCTGACACTGTATTTGGGCACAGAAGTAGCTCAATCTACGGTCGTGTTGTGGTAAAGGTGGCTTGTCTGGACAGTACCGTAAGATGGAGACTGCCTCAGCCCTCATAACAATCAGCGATGTCTTAGTCACAACAGCTTTGTCCTGTCTGAGGTGCTTGACCTCAGACTGCTCAGTCATTGTCAGAGTGCTTTTAAATCAGAAGCAGTCTTTTTTCATGCTTTTGTCAAGACAAAGATCAATACAACATCTATCTCTCCATTCATTTCTCCAAATGATGTGGTATTTCTTAAGGTTTAAAAAATACTTGTATGGTCTTCAGCTGTGTTGAGTAGCTCAAGTTACATTACATCTATACTACAGTGATGTCTGTCCACAAGCTTTTCGGCTCCATTTCAGTTTTAATCCCCATCTATACTAACCCTCATAAAAATGCTTATCATGTGACCACTCACACACACCCGGCATGCGCGTGCCAGTGTAAACGGGAATTGGTCAAATGATAGCTTGTCGACTGCACATGTAAGCAGTTGCTTATTGTAAAGCTGCACAACAGCTGGTAAATAAAACGGGGTCAGCAATTTATGGTCCGTGTCGCATTCTACAACACTGGTAGCTGAGGCTAATGCTGGTTCTTTTCTCCTGGAAGGGGGTCATGTGATAAAAGTCTGACAAATCAGCAAAGGCTACGTCATGACTGCAAAGACCTAATCAGCAAGGGTTAGGATGTCTCCACAGTTTTCAAACTAAAATAGGTCCAGCTACATTTAGAAATGCTGACCCCAAGCGCATCTATAGCAGAGGATTTTCTACAAACTTCATTTTTTCTTCACCAAGGAGATGATGTTTACATTGCCATTGTTTGCCTTGGTGGATGTGTGTGACCTTCAAGTTTAATATTGGTTTTGCCATTGTACACACATCACAGGTGCACTGCTCCTCTTATGCCAGAAGTCTAGTCAAACACACAGTTTCCTGTCAATACCTAAAGGCTACTGGACATGTCATATAGAGGTCAGCATGTTTAAAGATCCAAAGGTTGCTCCCTAAGTTCAGCGTCACTGAACTCACAAACCTGGCACAATATCAAGGAATCCCTTTACCGTCGGTTGAACAGCTGTGTCCAGCTACAAACAGTGGCCCCACTCCAAGCTTGTGTCTTTGGTGTGATGGCCCGGTGAGATAAGAGCCACTGCTGAATCGTAAAACGAAGCTCTAACTCACCGTTCTTCTACTCTGCCACACAAGTGAATTCTCAGCAATTAACCCACAACAGCTGGAGTGATGGGCCCTCAGAGAAGCTGATGCCCTCAAAAACAAGCCGTTATCTTCTCTTGCTGTCATCTACCTAAAGCTGCACAGGCAAATCCCAACTTTATTACCGTTGGTTTAGATTGAGCATCTAGTCAAATGCAGTGGTTACAGTCTCTGTGCTGGTTTAATCTAAGCTTTCGTGTGACTGGAGCAGGAAGCAGCAAATAAAATGTGAACAGTGGATGCTGATAAGATCAGAGTTACATGATAAAACACAACCTGTTGTCTCCATTTTCAGTTGGAGCTGGAATAAACTGCAGGGTTGACCTCTAACCTTCAGCTATCTAGGTCATTTTCTACTGTACACGAGTCACATCCTGGGGGCTTGCACCTGCACATGCAGTTTCTTTCCACCAACATGCACATGTGATGTTTTATCTTTTGTGGATCTAAAGACAGTTTGAGTCATTTTTGTATCATCTATAGCCAAAAGAAACTTCACAGCCAGGTTTTGTTGGTTTCTGAATTTGTATTTGTAATTGTTAATGCTAAAGATTTATATTTATATGTAAATTTACAGATGTTTTTCTCATATCGTTCTCCCTTTAAGGAGGTATTAAGGTTGCACAGAGGCATAACTAGACCCACAGACATCAGCTCTTAACACCCTGTCTGCACTCTGTAGTTATGTACAGTGCTGTGACTAATAACAGGGTCTACCTGGAAGCAATTTGACGTTAGACACAAGCACTACCATGAAATTTGTCTGCACTCCCTGAGTCAAGGACACTTTTCAGTAACAATTTATCTGTGGTGAAACAGATCCAGTGTGGCGTTGTGACACATTAGTCATATTTCACGACAGAAAACAAACACACACACACACACACACACACACTCATCATCCTCCCTGCACTGTCCTGAGGACTACACCCTGCCTCTGTGTATAATTTCACCCTGCTGACTTTTTGATTATTCGACTTAAAAGCCTTGCTAACGTAATCATAAATAGAACCACTGCTTTGCCCTGCTCGCTGTCTGGTATCAGTGTCTGACTTGTACCAGCTTCAGTCTGGTTTGCTTGCATCATCAGTGAGACCAGAGGCTTGTGGTGATAACAGTAATGTCATAATAGTTTTGCAAGATCTAGCAAAATGGTTGACTGTTGCTTGCAGTCACTACAGGCCTTACAAAACCTAATGTAAAAATAATAAATAAATATGTTTAGGTAGGTCGTAATCATGCTTTAATTTAAAGCCACATCCGTTGTGCAGGAGAAATGTTTTGGCGGGATGCAAATTTGTAATACATCTTTCGTGCTTGACATACATGTAGGTCTTTAATTTTATTATCATCTTAAGAAGTCTTAAATTGAACTTGTTTAAACCTTCAGAAACCTTGGTTGCTTGTTTCCACAGGAGAAAGTAATGTGTAGATATTTCAGGCTGAGAGTATTAGAGCTGTTCTCAAGCCGTGATCTCACCACTGCGTCCTCTCCTCTGGTAGCCTCACATTTGTTTCACACAACTGTTTGCATGCCAGGCTGCCAAGTTGAAATTCTTGACCAGTTAAGACGATGACCACAGGCCTGCCAGAGCTCGGGCTCCAGGCTCCGTAATGCAGGGAAAAGGCCAGAAGGCCTGGTAATACCCCTTCAGCTTAGAGATGGTGCCATGGAGTGTCAACCTACCATCCACATAGAAGCTGACTTGCCTGTCAGTAGTACCTGTGTGAGTGGCTCACATGTAGCTACAGCTGATAAACTCTTGATAAATATGCTCCTGCTCAGTGAGGCGATGGAGGAGGAATGAGGGCTAGAATGAGCGTTGGTAGAAACCAGATGGAGGCCGGTGTCCAGCTGCAGATTCAGGGCAGCCGTGGTGATTAGTGCAATGTGATTAGCTGCAATCAAATGTGACTGCAGCTTCTTGCCCGCAGAGTTCAAGGCAAGTGTAGCTGGTAATTAATTTCAATAGTGAATCAAATTTCTTATTTTCCACAGGATTTGTTGTAGCCTCGTGCCAAAACAAGTTTTCATCCCACTCAAATATTTTTTTTCAACCATTACTTTTGTTTCCTCCACAGCCAGGCCTAATCCCCAAGAATGTATTTGGATGTGGAATGTGGGGGGTTAGGGCACTGTAATGTGGAAAGGGAAGGATATTTAGCCCTGCTTACCAACCCTGCCGCCCTCTACAAACCCTAATGCTTATTATCGCTGCTTGGTATTTGTCTGGGTTTTTTTCCCCTCCTCCCTTAAATTTTGAGGGTGTTTTTTGTTTTTCTGTTGAGACTTGTTCCACATCAATGAGACGAGATGAAAACTGGAATTCTGAGGGCTTGTTTCGTATTAAAAATACGACTTTTAAATTTTAATTTACAAAATTACCCAGAGGCCCATCTGTATGCCAATTCAATATGTGAGGTGCTTTGTAGTTAGGTTTCTGACCTTATTCACCGGACGCTATTTCAGTGAAGATTCTCACACGTTGCTTGATTATTTTTTTTGTGTAGGAATTGGGAAGGTGAAGAGCAGAAAAGGAGGGATGAGAGACACAGCGTCCAACGCTGACACAGACATGTATGCAGATAATGGCGAGCGGCTCTACGACCTCAACCTGCCTGCCCTGGTCAAGTTCAGCTACACAGCTGAGCGCGAGGACGAGCTGACTCTTGTGAAAGGCACACGGGTGATAGTGATGGAGAAGTGCAGCGACGGGTGGTGGCGCGGCAGCTACAATGGACGTTCGGGTTGGTTTCCGTCCAACTACGTGACGGAGGACATGGATGGGACAGCTGGGGGAGGTGGAATGGGTGGACCTGGTGACCCGGTGGGATCGCTAACGGAGAAGCTGGCAGCCGTGGTGAACAGCACCACAAACGGGAACAGGGTGCTGCACACAGTCCAGGCGCTCTACCCCTTCAGCTCAGACAACGACGAGGAGCTGAACTTTGAGAAGGGCGAGGTGATGGAGGTCGTGGAGAAGCCGGAGAACGACCCGGAGTGGTGGAAGTGCCGCAAAGCAGACGGACAGCTTGGCTTGGTGCCGAAGAACTACGTCACTGTGCTGGACTCCACCGCCAATAAACCTACAGCGGGGCTCGCCGGGCCGCCCACACCTGACTGTGACTACATCTCGCCTTCAGGCAGCGGGCGCTTCGCGGGGAAGGAGTGGTACTACGGAAAGGTGACGCGACATCAGGCGGAGGTGGCGCTCAACCAGAGGGGAACGGAGGGAGACTTCCTCATCCGAGACAGCGAGTCATCGGTCAGTAGCAACTGATTTCTTCTGCCGCTTGCAGCGGCTTTGAAAGTGTCTGAACACAGATAATAATCGTGTTCTTCTTTTTCTTTTCACAGCCAAATGACTTCTCCATCTCCCTGAAGGCTCAGAGCAAGAACAAGCATTTCAAAGTGCAGCTGAAGGAAAACCTTTACTGCATCGGACAGCGCAAGTTCAACTCTATGGAGGAGCTTGTTGAACACTACAAAAAAGCCCCCATCTTCACCAGTGAGCAGGGAGACAAACTGTACCTGGTCAAGGCCTTGGCAGCCTCCTGATCCCTCTGTGCTACACACACACTCACACAGACACACACCTCGACACATTAACTGCATCCATACAGTATATATACATACCGATACTCACAGCAGAACACACACTAACATTTAAACTCCAAGCCTGAGGACTTAACACATCGTCAGGACTTCAATGCCCGATTTGTGAGCATTCCAAGAGAAGGCATGGAAGTTAAAAGCATGGGAGAGACTCTGAGAACTGGAGGAGTGGAGACAAGAGAGAAAAGACTATGGACTCCTGAGAGTTGACTACAGACCTCTTGGTCACCTATTTTAAATTATCCAGATGTGTTAGGTCATAGGCAATGCCATGTATTTCCACCTTGGTATCTATTAGTTGCATTTAGTTTCCTTTTTTTGTTTTTGTCGATAATATATAATCTTTTAACAGTTTCTTTTTTTAAATGTGATGATTTTTTTAAAAACTATATCCAACACAAAACAACAACGGACCGTATGAGGCTTTTTTCTTTCTTTTTTTTGTTTGTTTCAGCAGATTCAGAATCGATCCCACAGAGGTTCTACATCTCCACTCGTCTTTGTGTTGGCTGTCTTAACGGTTGTGGACGCACCGATCCTCAACTTCTGCTAAATGCAAATTATGAATAAAAATTAAGTGACCAAAATATATTTATTGACACAATTCTATGGTTGCAGCGATTGGAACATCCCACTCTGCATCTGCAAAGTCAAACTATATTGTCGACTGTCCCTCTACAGAACTGCTTGTCTCACATATTGCTGTATCCGTATCATGTGAATGTTACCAGAGGCGGCCACGACGTTGCATGCAGACAGAATCACGTCCTCACACCTTCACTGGGAGATATTGACTGAGTTCATCCATGTGTGTGAAGGGTTGTAAAGTATTCCCCCTCACAGTCGCCTCGTGCCGACCCCTCCCCCCCCTTCCCCCTGTACGCTGACCACTTCTGTGGAGCCGGGAGGGGAAACGGAGCACAAGTCCAGAGGATGATGTCACTGATCTGGAATTGGTGATCACTGGAGGGAGTGAGAAAGGTCACCCATGGGTCGTGTTGGTGCGGCTGCAGACTATATACATGAAGCTAAGAGACGCCCTCTTCCCTCAGCAGCCACAAAGGATTTCAGAAAACAACTCCTCACGACAAAGTGCTGCCAGGAGTGAACTGGTTTAAATGCGTTTATCTGGGCTCTGTAAAGTTGGAGTCTGGGTACGCAGTTTGTTTTTAACCAGTAAAAAGTCTGTCTACACAACACATGACTTGTATTTACAGTACAGTCTTCAGTGAGCGGGAGTGTGTCGAGTGAAAAATGGACCAAGAAGTGTTTGAATGTTGAAGGAGCATCTCGTACCAGTGCCTGCAATCAAAGCTGAGCGGCTCTTCACGGACGCAGCTCTAGCAGTGGGCTCAGGGAGACTATGGCGACGAAGAGGACGACGAATATGATGATGATGATGATGATGATCACGGTGCCTGCGATGATGAGCTCTCCAGCTGTGGCCTGTTGGACTCGAGCACAGAAAGTAGGGAACGAGAGGGATTTCACAGAGGACGAATGGAAAAATGAACCCAAAAAGGAAAAGGAAAAAACTGAATTAGGATCCAGGGAGGAGACTTCGGAGAATCCGTTCCACTGGAGATGAGTATCTGGAATACTGCTCCCAGTCGTACTCGGGTGGGGGAAATGGACGGAGCCCAACGCTGATGTATCTGAAGAGAATAAAAGATTTAGAAGTTTTAAGGTCGACTCAATCCAGCGATGCCACGCGGAACAGAAGAAGACATGGGTGTAAACCTTATTTTCCTCTCTCTCCATCCTCCAGGTGATTGACGGAGCTTTTCATACAAGAGCTGTAGGACGACACTTTTTTTTTAAAGCTGTAAAAGATGAGTTATAAAAAGAAACAATAACCTGTCAGTTTGATTCACGATGGCTTGAAATGACAACGTCTAATTTTACACCTCCAGCGCTCGACAAACCCTTAATACAACTGCAACAGTTTTATACATGAAGAAAAGCAACATTCCAACATGAACACAGCAGATTTCTAACGTCATGCCTCTTTACGTGTAAATCACAGGATTGTTTATCACACGACTTGACTGATTTTTTTTTGTTGTTGTTAATTTAAGGTCATTTATCTCTAAAGACCTATTCCACTTTCACATACGACCATGATTTCAACATATGTAGGATATTTGTGCCTGTTCCCCTCGTTTCGTTTCCAGTCGCCAGATAAAGTATTTGGGTTACAAGAATCCTATTACATGTCATTTACTACACCCAATCCCTGGCTGCTGCTGCTGTATCGGTGCCATGTTGCTGACACTTCCTGAGAGACGGTGTTTGCCTGCAGTAGTTGGAGTGATCCACTGCCGTCAGCAACCTCATTTTAATTTTATTTATTTGATTTTTGGGGGGAGGGGGGTGAAATTCCCTCCCTGACTCTGATCTCTGCAGAATCTGCGACGTCACGCAGCATTAAAGTGACAAACGCCAACGCAACGTGCCCCAATTTGAAGGATTAAGGACGGAATTTTTTAATGTGCCTTCACAGCTTTCTGTCAACCAAAGGTTTAGTGCCCTTTTTCTTTTTTTCTCCTTCATCCAGTTCTTCCCCCTTGTCACCGCTGCGTGCTATTTGGTTCAAGCTTTGCATGTGCATCAGTCGAGTCTGATCATCCTGACCGAAAAGGTTATTTCCTTATTTAGCGCTCGCTGATAATGTCATTGTCTAACTTTTTATTTAAGTCTTTTTTTTTGTCATGCGTCAAAAAGCCCATTAGTTGATCCTGTGTGTAGTTTCAAGTGACCTTAACGTAGCTGATCTCATCCAGTAAAAACTTCATGTACAGTTTGGAAACATGCTGACGTTCACTCAGAAACAATAACCCCAGGTGTGATGTAACCATGACCCGGATCTCATGTGCGAGCACCTCATCGTAACGGTGTCACATACAGTATGTCAGGGTTTCCAAGGAAACGGTTTTTAATGTCTGTAAGTGTAAGACATTCACTTTTGCAGTTAAGCCACTTAAATATGTAAAAAGACAGATCATTGATCCTTAAATGTGTTACTTGATATACAAATACAAATCCACAGTATCTCCCTGCATAGATAATGTTATGATAAACTGGGATCTTTTTTCATTTTACAAAGAAGGCCGCATGAGCAGAGCCTCGTAGCTGTACAGACATGGTTTTAAATCTGCTTCAAAAACACATGGGCGTCAGTTGTGATGGATATTATCAAGAGATCTCTTCTCTCAACTCATTTTTCACCAGAGTTGCAGCAGGAACTTGTGACAAAACAAAGCCTGACGTGATGTCGTATCGATTTCTTGATAATGTTGACGACAAACGGCCCGTGTTTTAACTTTGGTGCTTTTGTGCTGCTTCCATTTCTATGGTGTTCTTTGTCTCACAAAGCTTTGATCGTTGTTTATGAGCAAGAGAGAGAGTGATGGAAAAACAGATCCATGCTGTGGAATGATCAAGGCAGTGCTGTGAAAAATTAAAAAATGTCATGCTCTTAAATACTGTTCTTATGAAAAGGGGAGATGTGTTCAGGTGTAATGATTTAGAAGAGTTTATTAGAGTGTTCAAAAGACATAATAAACCACATGAAAATCATCATGGCTGCTGTTTTTATCTTTGTGTAAATAGTTTGAGATGAGAACTGTTAATGACAGTGGACGAACACAGAATTTAACTCTTTCAAATTGTACTTTTTCCAGAGGCCAAGAGAAGCTGGGCTGTTTTTCCAGACTCATGGTGGATTATGATCACAACCAGAATGCTTAGACAAACGATGTCTACACTCAAACTACCATTATTGACAATACCTCTATCATTACAATTGTAATTGCTACTCTCCGTCAGTCTTTTCTCTCTAATGTATTTGTTGTATAAATATGTTGTTGACGTGCTTTGATACATGCGGCATCATTTTCACTTGTGTCGGTCCTGGGAGATAAAATCTCTCACTTGTGAATCTCAGGTTTCTACGTCTTATTTTAGGTCGTTTTTTTTATAGTTCTTGTCGAGGATTAAGAACAGAGGCTGTCAGACCTTGTTAAGCTCAATGAGACAAATTGTGATTTGTGAATATGGACTATTCAAGATCAAATTTGATTGACACCTAATTTGTTGTTTAATAGTTTGGTTGTTGTGGACGAGCCAAAGACCTCTGGGAAATGCTACAGCCTGGTTATTGACCACTCCGTCTGCATGGAAGACGAGAGAGTGCTTTTTGACAAGGAATGTGGGCACAGTGGGTTTGTTGTTGTTCGATACTTACATTTCTTCTGAAGAATGGATGAATGCTTATTTACTTTAATCACACTTGAATTGGTAAGTGTGTGTGTGTGTGTGTCCGTGTCGAAAGTGTCTGTAAATAATTACAAAGATACATTCAGTTTTTTTTTAAAGACAGATTAAAGGTCTGGTCTCGATTGGCCTCCTCAGAAATGTTCCCACGCTCCTGGCATTCACCCGTTTGTTTGTTTGGATTTCCACTAAACTTGGTGGAAGAATTGGACGTGTGTCAGGAAGGAACTCATAAAAGTTTTGGGTCTGGCCAAGGACGCAATCCGCAAATTTCCAAGAGAATAATTCATAGATGTTGATGATGTGAAATATGGCTGTGTGCTAGGTGCCTCCACCAAAGAGCTCATGTTTTCCTCAGCGTTTGTCTGTTTGTTGGCAGAATTACACAAAAAAATACTGGAGAGATTCCCATGAAATTTAGTGGAAGGATGTGATGTGGGTCAGGGAAGAAGCTGCTCAGTTTTGGTGTGTGGATCCAGATCAGGGGGAACAAGCAGGATTTTTTTTTTTTATCTTAAACGTTGCAAGACTATCGTTGATTTCTCAAAGATTCATGGATCTTGGTGGGATGGAAACATTTAGGGAACTGATATCTATGAGTGTGTGAATTGTGCAGATCCAAATAATAATCCAGATCTAGAGAATTTTCAAAGTAACCTGAGTTAAATTATCTCCAAGTCCTCACTGTATGAAAACTGAGTGTGTTTTAATGTCTGTGCTCTAATGTGTTTATAATGCAGCTTAAATTGGGACATTAACATCCTCTGACCTGCAGCAGATGATTTCTACAGGGAGACCGCAGGGGCAGGCTGGGATCGTGGTGCGTTTGCGCCACCTAGTGGGTAAATGCATCATTACATTTTCTGGCACCACCCATGAGCAAATCACACTGTTATAATCTGGTCACTTTATTTCAAATCATTAATTGAAAAGTGAAACTAGGATTAAGATCATCCCAAAAATAAAATGCTCTATTCATTGATACATGATATTTGAAATACAAAATAATTCCCGCCAAGAAGAATTACGCATGTTCATTAATCACATCTGTCAAACAAACTGTCCAGGATCGAGTCAAGCATGTGAGACAAAGTGGGCTTGTGTTGCCGTTACGTAACTTGGGTGGCGAGTGGAGCCAAATCTCACCACACACTGTTACAGTAGCTGACCTTGGTTTGTTCCGGCCACAGACACAACAGAACAGCGGAGGCCTTCTCAGCTGCTCCACCAGAAGATTCCCATGAGGCCAAACAAAAACAAGAAGCAGGAAAAATAAAAGATAGGAGAGAAGTATTTGTTTTTAGAAAGAAAACATTCGAGCAAATGTACGTAAGTGTGTGACATCAAGTAGTTACTACTTATCTCTGAATGTATCTGCATAGATAAATCTGTAGTATTTGTAACATGTACAAAAGTGCAATCTCAGAGTTTAAAACATTTTGTTTTAAGGCTTGATCGGTGAATGATTTAAAGTGCTGATGAATAGACAGCAGAGTCTGTAGATCTGAGTCTTGCTACACGGTTTGAGAATCAGCTGTGATATGTGATCTGAGGACATGACAGACAGGAAACACAGGAGCGGCCTCTCCTTCAGAAGTAGAGCAGGTCGGACACGGCGGTGGGCAGGTGGGTCATTAGCTGCACTCTGATCCACCAGTGTGGCTCTGACGGAGTGTAACGCGCGTACGGGTGTTTGGACATGATGGCGTCGGTGATGTCGTCCAAGACGGGGGCCACGTCCTTCAGTCCGCTGCTGCAGTAAGAGCGCATCTGAGCCATGTGTTTCTCGAAGTGGGCCTTCCCGTAGTCGTCCTTCACGCTGGACGGGGCCTCGCTCCACAGCTTGTCGGCCGTGCTGGCCACGATGTCGCGGGTCAGGATGCCGGTGGCCACGATGAAGTTTCCGGGTTCAATGATGGAAACTTTGACTCCCCAGGTTTTCATCTCATAGCGCAGGCAGTCAGAAAAGGCCTCCACGCCATATTTAGACACGCAGTAGGGAGACCGCATGACATTTCCCATCCTGCCGTACATGCTGGCCAGGTTCACCACACGACCTGTAAAAGCAGGAGACACATTGTATTTCACTGGGATCAAACTGGATCAATTTAGGATGAATGATGACATTTGACAGTTAATGCAGCACCACAGGTACAGTTTGTTTTTGAACAGGTTTTAACTGCTGCTCCAGATCCTCGGGGTCTGTTAAACCTTCAGGTCCAGAGTTCAACAGTCTTACGACCTAAAAACAACACACTGGAGCTTTTCTCAGCTTCACAAACTATTTCACTAAACATTTGCTGAGGCCAGAATTCTTTTTTAATTATTATCTTCGTTGTTTTTGTGTCTACACTTTGGGATAAACTTCAATTCACAAACATTATTACATGTCAACTGAAAACACAGGTTTTTGACAGACATTCATTTTATGCCTCCTGGTTTGTCTGATTCAAATTGTAATCTTTTTTACTTTTTATCAGACAATTAATTTACTGTATATTATATTTCTTGTTAAGAAACTGCTTCTCAAAGGAACTATAATATACAGTGAATAAAAATTAGTATTATTATTATGAAAGACTGAAAACTTGTCCCTCAACATCAGGCTTGTTTGCATTGTTAACATTCTTCACTGAACTCACGGGACGCAACTTAGTTTTCTTTCAAACAGGAATCCGAACAATGTTTATAATCCATTGTACAAAATAAGTGTATGTTTCCTGCAGTTTTGGACATTATTCAACTTGTGAGATTGATGTGAGGTTCTCCGGGCCACCGACCTTTGGCCCTGCGGATTAACGGCAGAACAGCTTTGGTGACCCTGATGGTTCCCCACAGGTTGACCTCTGACACCTGCTTGTAGGTGTCCACGGAGGTAAACTCCACCTCTCCGAAGGTTGACACCCCGGCGTTGTTCACCACGGCCCACAGACCTGGGTCAGGAACAGTGACACAGGATTAAATCTGCGAGGGAGCGAAAATTAATCCTTAAACCATTGACAGTTGTTTACCTCTTTCAGAATCCTCCAGGTTCTCTTTGATAAATTCAACAGCCTGGTTCACCTGCTCCTCGCTGCACACGTCCAGCTGGACGACCTTCATGCGATCGGAGTGAAATTCCTCAAGCTCCTTCGCTCCTTCCCCATCTTCATCCTGCAAAGGGGACACAGCTTCTCCGTTCCACCAAATCCCGTTTACGAGTAACGTCATTTAAGATGTGAAAAATGCATTTGAATGCACAGGGAGGTATTAACCCTCTTAATCTACTAACAAAGGATACAGTCAAATACAAGAATCCTGCAACAAGTTCTACAACGAAAATTGAGTTTCAGTGTTACTGATCCAACAATATTATGTTAGAAAAAGGAGTTTGTGGTGCTGTTTCATAAATTAGCATCACATTAAAAAGTTAATCTTTTTTAGAACCATGTCCTATCAGTCAGTGCCAACTAAAGGTTTTTATTGTGATGCACTTCAACAGCACCACAGAGAACCGCCTCCAAAACAAATCCATGACCTCTCAGGAAAACAATGACTACAACCCTCCTGGTAGTGTTTTTGCTCTCTTGCAGTTTTGAGGCTGGTGATCCAGGAATATAGGTTGTAAATGTTTCTGTCGTACCTTCAGGAAACATCCAGCGAAGACGGTGAAGCCCAGCCTGTGCAGATGTTTGGCGAGCGAGTGACCAAATCCACTGTCACAGCCTGTGATGAACACGGCTTTACCGTTCGCCTGCAGAGACGGAAACATTAAAACATATCAAACACAGAGAAACAGAAAAAACACAGAAGAGAAGAATGGAAAAAACTTACACAGTGTCAGTGTTAAATACATATACATGGGATTTGTACTACAATACTTAGTTCTGAAGATAATTTACTTATTACAGTGTGTGATGAGGCAGACAAAAGAACACGTGAGAAAAATAGAATCAAATAAAAGAGAAAATAAAAAACAGAATTGAATAAAAGTACAGAGAATATGTGAAATACACATCTTTCACTACACACTAGTAATAATTGTTATATTATTCAAAACATCCCAGAGCAAATTCCGTGTATGTTGAAAACCAGATCCTGATTTAATGTATTAAACATATTATCTTTACATAATAGTAAATCATTGCATTACAGGATATACTGTATATGACCGTGTTAATACAACCTGAGGAAGTTAATCATGTAGTAAAGTTATAGAACAGCAGTATTTATAAGACTGGTACTCAGTAATTACTCCTGTTAGTTTTATGACATGTTGAACTGAAGCTGTGTTATTGTTCTGTGAAGAAGGAGAAACGGAGCCGTGACGATGGTGATGCTGGTACTGCACCTCCTCCACTCCTCTGGGGATCCGAGGCGTCGCGATCGACAGCACGAAGACGAAGTACAGACCCACCACACACTCGGTGACGCTGGTCTGCGGTAAACCGACCAGCCGCGTGAGCCCGTTGAGCAGCGCCGGGAGCCCGACCCCGAGCAGCACGGTGAGGAACACCGAGAGCAGCACGAGCAGGGCCGCGCGGAACACCGGCTGAGGCGCCATCTTGGGTCTTGTGCTGTGTTTACGTCCGAGGACGCTCGGCTGCAGAACCGAGGGGGCGTGGCACCTCGAGTCATGTGTTGCAATATTAACGTTTTTCTGTGTTCCACTCATCACGTGACATTTATGTTTATTCAATTTGAACACGCCCTCAAAGTTGTCTGGACTTCTTTTCACATTGCATTTACTTTTCTTTTCTGTCAAACCACTTTGTGAACTCTCTTGCTGTACAAATAAAGTTTCTTATTATTGTATGTGTCTAAAACCACAGATTTTTTGAGATTGCATGGCATGTTTGGCAACACAACGTTTTAGTTTTAGTAACACAACTGCTTGTTTGTGTGGCAGTGTAAGTGAGGAACCACTCGTATACATCACAGACTTCGAGCTCCACATCCTCATTTAGTTTTGAGATGTGCTGAAGAGAGAAAGGGAGAAAAGTTGACACCATTTTGGTAGAAATGCATTTTTGTTAAATAGCCATTGTGTGTCTTTGTCACACACACACTGTAAAACATTGCAGCCTTATTTAGTTATGTCCACTTACTTCTTCCCTTTAACTCAAAGAGCTCTGACAAGTTTTAGATTTTGAACTCGATTGTATGAGTTTTCAAAAGGTAAACTTGCAGGTACTCGTTGTGTTGACTATTTGAAAATGTTATCAGATCTGTACGTGTTGATTGAACTTGTGTGTGTAAGTTATGAGTTGAAAAGAAATGAAAAAAGGAGGGGGCGGGGGGTGTGAGCTGTAAAGACATAGTTGCAGCCACTTTTGAATTTGAGAGGAACTGTCCTCTTTAAACCATGGCAGGGTTTCAGTATGGACATAATCTACTAGCTAGTTAGTTATAATTAGTTGTAATATATTGACTGCATTCGAATACAAACGAAAATATAGACACTGGTAAAAAGAAAGGACTACTGTTAACCCTGCACTCATTTACCATTTAAGAGAATGAGCTCATTTTAAAACAATTTGTAAATGCTGCTAATGTTCGCGCTGACAGAGCTGCTCCTAAAACTGTGACCTCACTCTTGAGCTCTGTACATGATTTACTGAGCAATCATTGAATGCAGTAATATGGTCAAAGGGCTTGATGAGTATGCACGGGAAATATGTTAAATATGTGCTTCTAAATCATTAAAACCTAACTCTACTCACAAGTATCAATAAATATACCCCAGTGAACTCACATGTAGGAGAAAAACCACCTGAACAAGTCCACAACGTTTCATGTTTTTAATGTTTCCAGGTGTAGAGTGTTTGTGGTACAGTCAACATCCCGGACAAAGTTACACTCAAAGACAGTTAAAAAGTCAAACACAGACAGGATGATGGCAGCAGAGAGCGCGAGACACGAAGGCACTGAGGATCTGCTGCGTATCTATGGCGACTACAGGACCACACTACGGCCTTTAGAAGCGCTGTAAACATGTTTAAGATTTAAATCAGGGGATGTTAGATGGCAGTCGTAAAAGAAAAAGAAAGAAGAATGTACATGTAAGTGCTCAGTAACACAGATACATGAGTTCCAGTTCAACTCTTTATTGTCGTCATCTCCCTTTATTAAAAAAGGACACTCAGATAAAAAGAAAAGTGCTTTTATCAAAATACCTAGAAAAAGTGAGTTCATGTTAGTATTGTTTTTTCAGATTCTTCCAGTGCAGCACAACAGATCCCTGTGACAGGGTCAACTCAATAATGAGTCTTGCATAGATAATTAAAGCCCTTCATAATATTTAAATGGCGTTGAAGGTTTTGCTGGTGAAGAGAGAGACTCGACTCATTTTCTTCTGGAAACGGGCAGGAAGGAAAAACGTGCCGAGTATTTTCTTGCAAAGACGTGGTGAGTGTGTTAAACTGCGAGTGCTCCGTTGATCTCCCTGCTCTTCATTTGAGGAAACTATCCAGCTTCCTTTTGATATTGTCAAACGAGTCCATTCCCATGTAGTCTGCCTGACCTTGCTCCCACTTCTCCTTGCGCTCCTCCGAGGACATGTGGAGCTGTGGCTCTTGTTCGTGTGAGGACAAGGTTTCATCCTGTGCAGAAATATTTAAAAAAAATCATACACGAAAAAGAGTTAAGTTTGTTAAGTGCTGAATTTGCCATACGTAGCTTTTCTACATTAATGGCTGCAGGCGAACACACGCAGAAGCTTCAGCTTTTAGAGGAACGGGAGCAGTAGCGTTAAACCAGGTGCCAACAAACCGTTATTGACCGCTAAGCTATAAAAAGCATAGAATCACTATCTCCGTACCTGTTCGCTCTCAAAAGTGAGAATGTCACAATACTGGAACTTTTTGACATAAATAGAAAGACAGAAAATATGTATATCATCCAGAACCAGAACAAAATGGTAAAAAGTGAAATAAATGAAGGTGGAAAGAACAAATGTGACAACAAAAAACAAGGGATTATATGAAAACTGAACAATAACTTTATAAAGATATGGTTTAGAGCAATCCCTTCATTTCCTATAGAGCTAAACAAGCTAGAAATGTTGGTCAAAGTCGATGGTCAATAAAGTTGCACTGTGTGAAAAGTAAAGTTACACAGGAAATCAGAAAGTTTCATTGGGTCAAAGTTTCCATACTTGACGAAGACTTTGTCAATATTTTTAAGCTATAGCGAAGTTTTCTTAAAGAAACTTTTACTAAGCAACAGCGCCCTCTGCAGCCACACACGGTGACTCACTCTGTTGGGCTCCATATCTGAATGATGAAGCGTTTTTTATGTAGAGAAAAAACAAAGCCCACTGATCTCTTGGCCCACTCTACTGAAACAACTGAACAGTGGATATTACACCATAATCCCTGTTTTCCTGAACCAGAGGAGCTGCTGCTGTAACAAATAAACCAAACTGCTTTGAATTCCTCATATTTTAAAAGTTTCTTGCTGAATATTGGAGATAAACGACTTTGAAGTCTTTGAAACCGATCCACAGTCCGTCACACATTCCTCACAGGAGATCGTACCCCGTCAACAAAGTAACGTAGAGCAAGAACAGTTCAGGGGGAGGAGGGCGGGCGAAGGTTAAAAAAGTGTTGCTTTAAATGGAAAATCTAGCAAAAAAAAAAGATTGCTCTTTACTTATCAGATAAAGTGATTGATCGTAATGTTCGTGGTGTAATTGAACTGAAGCAGTAAAACCTGCGTTTAATTACCTCCACACATCCGGAGTGAAAAGGCTGCTCTCCGTACTGCTCATGCAGCATCGGCACCACGGCGCTGGAGAACAGGGTCCACCAGTCCAGGAGGAAGGTGGGATGTGCGGTGTCCTCGTGCACACTCCCTGTGATCTTTTTGGCTTTGGTGTCAAATGTGTAACTCCACGGTTTGGTCTTCCCCAGAAAATGGACCACCTTGGCATTGCCACCATATCTGGAGGGAGAAATACAGTAAATGAGGATTCCAATGTGAAATCATTTTAATAACAACGCGTCTTTAAGTTTTTACGTGGTTTAGAATCATGAGATTGTCTGAGGCCTGTGTTTTGTGCAGGATTACAACACATTATGTACAGTATGCAACTTCGCCCACCAGGGGGCTCTTCATAAGAAAATTAACAAAACACAGTGGAAGAATCAAGGAATCGTTCCGATACAAATGCTGTTTGGTGGTTTCATAAATGTTCTAAGATTTTACAGTTACTGGCTCTGTCAGTGATGAACCGCTTCTTACTGTGTGTCTGTAATTAACAATATAAAGAGAGAGAGAGCGAGAGACCACAGGGAAAGTGGATATGATGCAATTAAAAGGCGACAATATTGAAATGTACCGTTACTTTGAATGGAATTTCTCTGGGTCTGAACATTGCTGGAAATATTTTTTTGGATATTGTAAATACACAGTCAACAGAATATGAAATAGGTCTCGTTGTCAAGACATTTAGAAGATTCGTTTTTATCTATATAAGTACTGGAGAACGTTGTTGTTATTGTGGAGGTATTAGACAACAACAGATGTGAAAATCTTTTTATCACGTACATAAATAAACTTGTCCTCTGAGTACCAACACCTACCAACAACTGAATACATGTTTATTATCATGTCGCTCTGATTCGGTTGCCAGGAAATGCCAAACTTGAGCCTGTTGATGAGGAATGTTTCGACACATAGAGCAGTTCAGACGCACAGAGGCAGGAGGAGGAGGGGGAGCTTAAGACGCAATGCACAATGACGGGTCTGAGAGGCCAACATAAAAGGTCTTTAAATAAACCGCTCTATTTTTGGGTTTGGTATCAGCTGTTGGGAGCTCAGGGTGGATATCCAACCCAGAGACGACGGCCTGCCGGGAGACTCTCGGGCAGAGCTGCTGGAATCTCACTGCTCATCTCGCTCGTAACCTGATGTCACTACACGCTCATGTGATCGAGTGTCGGCTTCCACCTTGGCTCGGTGTCTCTCTGCCGGAGTATAATACAATTGTGTTGTGCAAGTAGAAACGCACCAAAATAAAACTTTCGAAATCACACCTACATCTGTCTACGCTGTGAACGTCACAGAACAGCACGACCTTGGCAGACGGACACTTACTGTTTGAAGGCTGGAAGGTACGTGTAGATGGCTATGCTGCTGAGGTTGTAGATGAAGGGGAGGTGTTTCGAAATGTCAGCTGTTGCCCAAGTGTTGAAGAAGCCGTTTAAAACACCCTGATCTCCACCTGCAACAGAGATGGAGGGAAAAAAAACTGAACTATGAGGAAACTTTTTCATCATTATTCTTGGATCTGCCCCAAAACTGAATGGGTTCTACCCTGACCCATAATGCATCCCTCTACATAGTTAATCTGTCCATTCAATCTGTCCTTGGTAGTAAAATATCAACAAATGCGCTTTATAACTTTGTACTTTTTATAAAGGTTGGTACAAACCTGAAGTTTCAGAAAAATCATGCATCCACGTGAACTCTAGAATAATTTATCTATCTTTCAGTGAGTGTTTACAGTCCATCATCTTTACATGGATTGTAAAAACTATTTTACATCAAACTGAATGTTTATATGGTGACATCTCCATCTTTTCAAATAGCTTTGATTTGTTTTAAATATTGAACCGGTCAATCAATCAGATATAGGGCCGCAGGTGAAGCTTGTAAATGTGCAGGATGAAAGTGAACAGAACTGTGAGATGCATGTTGGGAAATTTCCTCTGAAGGGCATTTATTTTAAAAGATTTTGAGGAATGGGCATTTACTATGAAGTGTAAATGTCAAGTTAGAAGATTAGGTGAGCTTGTATCTGGAGTTGATTTGTATTATTAGTGTGGAGATGAAGTGAGAAACTGTTGGTTGGTTTCGGTGAAACAGGAAAAGCTGAGTGCAGTCAAATGATATGCACACATCTGACAGCTTCATGAATCCTTCTGCTCGCGTTGGTCTACGTTCATCAGGAGAAGAGAGCAGCTGAGATCAGGCCAAACAAGTCTTGAGTTTCTTTTTCTAAATTTTAAGAGCATGGTCTTTAATTTAGAGAGAATTGTTTTTTTCATTTCACATCCAGGTCTTTCTCTCAAAACCCCCTCTCCTCTCTCAAACAGCTCGTGCTCCAAACTGTTCTGCACCCTGATTTATTGTTGCTGCACAAATGTCCTGTGCTTCAGTTTGAGTTTGTCTCCTTGTGTATTTCGGTATCTGCACTGAAACGCACAAATCTGCACTGGTACAAATTTCACATGATACCTAGCTCTATTGATGACCAGTCAAGTTCAAATAACACAACTAGACATAAGTATTTAAAAAATGCCATCTCTCTTTGTGCTGGTGATGTGAATTATCGTTAAGCCCTCAGGCTTGTTCTAAAAAGTTTGCGCTTGAGTTGCCTCCAGTATTTGAGATCTGATTGGAGGGATGCACCGCTTAGTTCAGTTTGACTGGTGCAGAAGTGGACCTCATCAAGGGGGTGGATTATGTAAACACAATTTGGGGTGTGGGGAGACGTTTGCTGTCGAGTAGCTCAGTGAAACCTCGAGTAGAAAGAGCTGAATTTTTTTTTTTCTCGAGCATCTGTTACATCATCAAATCTGCAGCTGACCCGACCAGTTATGAAGTCTGAAAACCTGACGCAAGCTTAATAACCACAAACTGATTCCTACTGAATTGCTTTACACACAAACCATACAGTAAGTCTTCGGACTGTCACTGGCACAAGCCGAGATTTCAGCCATTTATAGACCTTCAGATGTAGCTCCTGACGAGGACAGGACTGCACTGTGCCTGGAAACCCACAGACTGCTGCAGTTTAAAATAACACACATGGCCGAAACCCACGACCTCCACCGGGGGGTTTCTAGACTTCACGTGGAAGCGAGTATCTTTCATTTTGAGGGGATGAGCAGAGCTCGGCAAGAATGTGCATCTAACTCTGCCAGCATGTTTTGGCAACGGACAACAGAGGAAGCACAGATGCAGAAAAAGTATTTTCCTGTCGTCTTTCAGTATTTTACAGTTTCCTTCATGACCTACAAGACGAGAGAGAGGTGCATGTGTACATCATGTTTCCTTATAGCAGAGCGGGACTGAAATGCTAAAGGTCAAAGCTACTCAACTCATGCTCCAGCGCGCAGGAAAAAACGTCCCTGGCTATAAATAAGACAGCTTTACTTATTAGAATACCATCAGGCTTACAGACACTGGTGTCACACTGGAATATTCAATATTAAGAAATAAACAATAAAAAGACATGAGTTGTTGTAGACCTGGAAGAATTAAGACAATAACATCTTGTCTGTGGATGTGACTGTGACGGAGAAGCTCCTGCCAACAAACGCTTGTTGCAGACAGAATGAGTCGGAGCTTGAAAGCGTTTGGCCGCTCGTCAGCAAACTAATTGGTTTTTTAACCAATTCTCCCGGATGGAATCTCTTTCACAGCATCACAAGGGGAGAACAGCTTGTCATTTGATTTTTTTAAAAGGACAAGCCCCGGCTTTTCAAGCTTTTACTGGAAGTTTTGTATCGTTTGTTCTGCAGCTGCTTCCTTCTGTGGGATATATGAGGTCGAAACACCCAGAGGAAACTCACATGCCAGATTTTTTAAGCAGATTCAAGGCTGGTTTTTAGATGATCAAATAATAAGCATGATGCATTCTGGTCATTCTTAGACTTATCTTACTGTATACTTGAGCTGGTTCAAAAGGTTACCATGAGTGTATGTCATGGTAGTGCAATGATTTTTACCCCTGCCAGGGAGGTTATGTTTTAAACTCTGTTCGTATGTTTGGTTGTGAGCAAGATTATACAAAAACTACAGGAGGGATTATCACGATATTTGGTGGAAGGATGTGATACGGGTTTGAGAAGAACCGATGCAATTTTGGTGCGAATCCAGATCAGAGAGAGGATCCAGGATTTTTTTTTTCACTTTCTTTAACATTGCAAATATGGCATTTACAACATTTTCCTTGATTTTATGTCACGATGTGTGATGTCCATGTCCAAGTTCTATTGTTTTCAAGATGTCGCTGAGTCACTTGCTGTAATTTTGGATCTCAGATGGTGAAATTGATTGAATACCACACGAAACAAACGTTTTCTTTTGCCTGTGTACGATGACATTTGCTAGTTAGACTAAGCTGGGCACAAATGAGTCGAGTCATGCGTGCTTTTGCTCAGCTGGAAAAAATTATGTCACACCTAACAAGCAGATGATTCAGGCAATTGATATTTATGAGTGTGAGCAATTTGGTGCAGATACAATTAAAAATATGGATCTAGTGAATTTAAATGTGGTTCCATAAGGGGACAGTTGGGCCTTGGCAGAAGTCCATAGTGCCATTTTTTTTTTAAATGCTAATGGCTGATTCAGGTTTTTATGTAATTTAGTTCCTCAAAAGCAAAAGTCAGTAAACCTGCAGGGAAGAAGAACCACGTGCTCTTAAGAAATGTGGACCAATAATCTTTTCAGCCACTGGTCTGAACAAGAGCCGCTCAGCAGAGACCAGACCCGACATGGAAGCAGAACAACGACAACGATTCAGTTACAGTTGCAGCGTGCCTCAACGAGAGGAGCTGCTGAATGTCAACCAGCGCTCGGGGCAAAACAGGCCCTCTCAAATTTAACCCCCACCCCATCGAGCCCCTGAGAATAACTCGGCCAGACGGTGTGTGACAGGAGGACCTTGTGTCCGCACACCGGGCTCAACAAAGACATTACTTACAGCGAAAGATAAACACGCTCAGTTTAACATCACGTTACCAAGAGCCGAGTGTTAGTCCAAACAGTTCAAAGCCAAAATGTTTGAGTACGACTGAAAAAAGACCAGTGACATCCAAACTCAGCTGAGCGGTAAACCACAAACCCTTGACATGTCAAATTCTTTCTTGTAATGCATTCGGTGATGTCTTTTGAGGGAGACTTGTAAAGGACACGAATAAATCGTATCTAATACCAGCACGTATAGATCAGTAAGAACAACCAATACGTCTGTTGACTAAAAGGAGAAGTTAGGGAATATTTAGGGATGTTGGTTTATTCGCTTCTGAGAGTTAAATAAGAAGATTGATGATATTCTCATCAGTCTATTAAATATGGAGCTACAGCCAGTAGATGGGAAACTTAGTGTAGTAGAAGTATAAGTTCTCTATACATCTCGTCTTCATACAAATACTGTTAGAATATAAAAACAAGCGTTTTGTTTCACTGAGAGTTGCAGGTTTTTCTTTTCTTATTGATTTTCTTATCTAACCCAAATCAATGAATGTCTTTCAATAAAGTATGGCCACATTAAATAGTTATTATTAACTATTATCCATTCTCAATTTAATGTTTTATATAAAAAAAGGAAAAATTAAAAGCCAAAGTGGTGTCATTGATTTATCCCACTGAAAATCTAAAACCCTAAATTTAATTCATCCTCACGTTTTATTCATATTCAAACTGTAATGATCTCTGAAGTCAGCGTTTCATTTCAAATCGTTTGTTTGTTGGAAAAAGTGACTGGCACCAGAATTAGCAGGTTGTGGTTGTACTACTATTCACAGGTCATGGCCAAAAAATGTTTTCGTTTGACCTTTGACCATCATATTCTACTTCGGTTCATCTTTGAGTTAAAGTGGACGTTTGTACAAGATGTAATGAAATTCCTTCCAGGCCTTCCTGAGATAGCTGCGGACGCCTGAACAGCTGGGAAAATAAATTGAACATTTCACTTGACAATTAATTTAGATTGACTAAAACAAAACTATGAACACACACAAAAAGCAGCGAGTTTGATAAGTAAGTGGGTCCCTCCCGGCTTACCGTCAAAGCTGCCGTGTTCTGTACAGTACTGAAGCAGTTTGCCGTGAGTCTCCATCGAAGGACAAAAGACGAACACACCGGAGTTAAAGCAGTCAGGCCATCCGGGGTCAGGAGAAGCTGACAGTTCTTCTCTGTCAAACAGTTCATCTATATTTGAAAGCACCTGGGACGCAGAAACAAATAAATGTTCGAGTAGAACAATAATATACTGTACAGCATCTTGGAGTGAAAAAATCTGATTTCATCTCACCAGTGTGTCTGCGTCCATGAAAACACATTTGGAGTAATGTGTGAGGGTCCAGCAGTGGAGTTTGGTGAAGGTGACGCCCAGGTCAGGCCTCTTCATCATGGCCAGGTGAGCTGTGTCGCCGCTTTCCAGCAAGTCCACCACCCTCACCTCATCGTAGAGCCTCTTCAGCACGGACCTGATGATTCGCAACACTGAATGAACAAATGCAGCTGGACAACATGACGGGGGAGCTGCCTGTCTGCTTCAGAAATGTTCAATGGTGGGGAATAAGGTTACTTACTGGCACGGCTCGGACACTTGTGGACCAATGAGCGCCACCAGCTTCTTGGATGTGTTGTGGTTGCGCAGGGACTTGCCCAGAACCATGGCTCCCCGAGCGTAGTTGTCATTGGTGGCCAACGTCACAAAAGCTTGGTCTGCAAAGAAAAAGAAGAAGGAGGGAAGTTTAGTGCGAGTGAATCTAAACTCGCACACTCTTGCGTAGGGGGGACATCATAATCAGTTACTTGTTTTGTTGTGTGCTGCAAATTTTTTTTACTACAGAAGAGAAAAGACCGAAAGTTTAGATACATGCATTCAGTTATTTAAAGAATGTGTTTGATGGAAAGTCTCCGTCATGTTTTTGTCCTAATTAAATATAATCCGACTACTTCCCTTAGAAATATCATACAAATATGAAAATATTCCAGAAATATGTTTTAGTGCAAAAGTACGATACGTATGTCGAATAATGTTGTGAGCTCCAGGTCAGATAAGTTACATAAAGATCTCAAACCAGTAACCGCTGTTCTTTGACCATTTGAAAACTTAAAGTTGGACATGCATGTTTTAAATCGTGACAGTGCAGAAAATGTGTTGGCATGACGTCACATTTTCCATGTTTGCCAAATTATCTGCAGGATTAATGAACATAAACAGTTAAATCAGCCCAAAGCAGCAATCTCTTTTGCTCCCTCTTTAGGAATATAAATGGCTCTGTGTGCATCTTCTGCAGTTGAAACAACCTGCAACTTAATTACTTAGTTCCAATCAATTCACATGCTTAAAGACAACTGTCACTTTAACTGCTTTAAAAAAAAAACTTTTTTTCCACAAGCGATAAGTTTTGGCCTCACAAGGGGATTTCTCACTTGCTTTAAGAAAAGTAATAGTTAAGTACTGTGAAACAGACTTAATGTCTCATTAAAGTGAATTTTATTTGCAGTGTGAAGCCTGCTCTGTACTCGGCAGGAGGGAAAATCTGTCAGCTACCTTCCAGGTCCCGTCTCTGAACAACGACTTGCCTGTGAGAGGACATTTAAACTCAATGATGACATCAGAGTGGCTGCTGGGGGAGGCCGTGTGACTCGGGCCAACATGAGTTGTACATCAAAACCTTGTGACTCAATGGACAAATAAACTACACAACAAATGTACAAAATGTTCAAGAGCTTGATGTTTCTGTAAATTGGAGCCACCAGAGCTGCCAGGAGAACATGTTCTCTCCCACTGCTGCCACACCTACTCTCCCTCACGCCCCCTTCTTCCATTGGTACAATCTGTGCTGTAGTATTCCTGCATGAAACACAGGAATAACTTCCAAGCAACACTATGCGACTTTTACTGAGCAACAGCGCCCTCTGCAGCCACACCTGGTGCTCAGTTCTGTTGGGTTCTTCGTCCGAGCGATTAAGTGGTTTTCATGTATATCAGTTATTGTTATATGGCTCATTTATGCTTTACGTAAGAAAAAAAAAATACATGTGTTTCAAAAGATGTAACTGTCACTGCCCACATACATGTACCTCCAAGTGCCTTTAGGGTGGCGTGGTTGTTAAGCAAGACTTCCACAAGAGGGCAGCTAAGAGTTTAGAGTCTAGAGGTTGTCGTGTATCGCTTAGAGGAAAAAGAGAGTTTGTCCCTGAAGTTTCAACTCAAAAAGTCTCTCCTCATAAAGTTCCACCATTGTTGAAATGTCTTTCTCGGGTCCATTAATCGTCTCGCTTGAACTATTGGCTACAGTGCCCCCTACTATTTCAGGGGGTACTGCTCGGTTTCCTCTGTATCCAAAACCTTTCAGAAGACGTGCACAAATGCGGACATATAAACCGCAGAGTTCGGACAGCCGCCTCCGTCTTTTTCTGTATACGCATCTAGAGCTACGCATTAATGAGTCCACACACTTCTTGCAGGAGACCACACCCCCTCACACTAACATGAACAGACATTAAGGGTAAGGAGTGGGAATCAAAGCAGCAGCATTCTGCCTCTTCCAAGTTTGTGAATCATCAAACTGAACTTGAAGCAGCTATTTAAAAGTTAAAAAGGGACATAGTGTTGCTTTAAAGACGGCAGGCGATCACTTCAACCACAGCCATGGCTCAGTGAGTTGACAGTACAGGCTGCAAATGTCCCCCTTCCATTTTGACTTGAGGGGACAATTCCCTGTAAGATTATACCGCAAGTGGGAGTTGACTTATGGAGAATGGTGACATTCAGTAGGCTCTCTACCTAAGGTCAAGTACAGAGTTAACAGGTAGACATGGCTCATATGACAAAAGTCTGACAAAAAGACCAAGTGGAAGTCAAATGACAAGTTCCACTGTCATTTTTCATACGTGGTCATCATATTTCAGACATGGCTGACACCTTCATGAGTTTAGGTTGTGTGGTGAATATGACAGAGAGGAAAACACAGATGGAGACAGAATGTACTTGACTAGAGTGTGAGTCTCTGCACACCAGAGGAGGCTGCTGCTGCGCAAACACTGTTACCCAACACACACACATTGAGTCAGAGCAACCGGCTACAACGACCTTTTTCACAATATTAACCTCATATAGATTATTATAAGTCAGCGAGACTTTCCAAAAACTTCAAAGGCAACACGTTTCAGCGCGTGAGCAGCTCCTCTTTGAAGACGGGACAGCGCAGAGCAGAAGGTTCCAAATGTTGGAATATTAGAATGTTACGTACCAGCCATGACTGCAGAAGAAGAGGAAGGAGTCGAAGCTACTTTGTAGCCCGGACGGGACGCAGCAGTTCGGCGTGGAGAGAAGGGCTGAATAGATTCACCGAGGTGATTTATACCAGGGTGACAGCAGCAAGACGCAGCGTCACGTGACCGCCTCCACACACCCACCTACCCCTGGCGTGAGTCTGCACACACACGCACACGGACACACAAGCAGTTCAGAGAGTTCAACTATTCACAAGTATACAAAGATATATTAGAAAAATTAGCTTTTGATTGTCAACATGCTTTTTATTATTTTGTATAGTTATATTTTGTTTATAAGTGGGATAAATATTTAAAAAAATATATAACAATCCCAGGACATCTGCATGCAGCCTTGACCTTTCATCATCTGCCATGCAGCTGCCCTGCCTGGTCACATCTTCACTCAAGATGTCAATACAGAGAGGAGGATGAGGATGATGGTGATGATGATGATGATGATGATGATGATGATGATGATGATGATGCCATCAAAGAACTGAATTTACCTCATTCAAGTCACTCATCTCTGGGTTAGTGCAAAAATACTGTGCAACATCTTGGTCTCAATACAATATACTGTTCGTAGAATTACACAACTTTTATAAGTACTCTTAATATACATATGTGCATTTATTGTTTATGTCCATCCCTGTTTTTTAACTGTAGACTTGCAATGCATTCTGATTGCGTTGTGTGTTTTGTGTATATTGTGTGTAACACTGAAGGAGACATGCTGAATTTCGTTGTACAGCCGTGCAATGACAATATATGCCTTTTTATTCAACTCTGTTCTGTGATGCTGCAATGAGGCCCTGGCATTCGGAACAAGATGTTCCTTAATTTACATCTGGCACTTTGGCGCCATCTCGTGGTGCAAATACAAACCAGCAGGTTAGCTCAAGTAGTGTAGCATCGCTTTTGGACACAGGTCTAAACCAGAGCAGAGGGGACAAACTATGTCCTGCAGTGTTTATGTTTGAATTTAAACTTTAAAACGTAGTCTTACAGCAAGAAGGTTCCCAGTTCGATCCCTTGGGTAAGGCCTCTCTGGGTGGACTTTCCCCAGCTCTCTCCCACAGTCCAGAGACATGCAGACTGAGGTTAGGTTAAGCCAAGACTCTAAAATTACTGTAGGTGTGAGAGTGAGCATGAATGGTTGTTTGTCTCTGTTGGTCCTGTGATAGGCTGGCGACCTGTCCACGGTGAACCTCCCCCTCTTGACCTATGTCAGCTGGGACTGGCTCCAGCTCCCCTCGTGACGCTCAGGTCAAGGACAAGTGTCATAGATAATGGATGAATGAATGGACATGAGGGTTAAGGTCCAGTGTAAAGTACTTATGAGGATCTCTTGGCAGAAACTGAACATGATATTTATAGTGTTACTTTCATTTGTTTACAAGGTTCATTCTGTTTTGGTTACTTTAGGTGTATAATTAATGATTGTTTGAACATTCCCCAAAAACATTCATCTCTGCTGAATTTTAAAGATTGTTAATTGTTAAAGCTTTCTAAATTTTACAGAGTTGCATTTGTCCTAAAGACTTTACCTTTCTACCTTCTGCCTCACGACTCTGTGCCACTGCAGTTAAACTCCCCGCTGATCCTTGGCTCTTTTATTTTCTCCACTCAAGCAGATGCTTGGTAGAGTGGATACGCTGCCAATGCGTGCTCTGTGGTCGTCACACACTGTGCTGCTGGACCACAATCCTTAAAGGCTGATCCCCCGCCCAGCCAGCATCCACTACTGGAACCGAGCCAGCTGAACAAGAGGGATCACCGGGGTTCAAAGGGGCTGATACAGTAAATTGTGGGAATCTTTTGTTTCTCAAAGCATTGACTCGTTTAAATCTTCGACGTTGAAAGTTGTAGGGCCCCACTGCTTGGTTAAAATTCAGTGGCTCACTATGATTTCCCAAACCATGAAATAAGTGAATTATTATAATTTTCGATGAATGCAGCAGAGCAGTTTTCTGGCCTGTTTGTGATGAGGTGTAACTTTCATTGTTTGTTGCATATTTTCATACTCACTCCACCAGACACTACGCTGTCATATACACATGAAAAAATTAGATTCAGCATGTGGGGATGGATCATTGATTTTATTGTTTGCACTCATCTTGACATTCTGTCAAGCACAGCAAGGAAACATGGCGGGTGGTGGCCGTATCCATGGATACGGGCTCGAGATTGGCTGAGAGCTTGGATGGGGCTGGTACAGAGGAGCTGAGTTGGCAGGGGTCCTGGCAGTTCTGCTCTCTAATAGAGGTTCTTCTGCACGTAGGCGGCGATGTACTTGACGGCCAGCATGGTCTCCTCACATGTGGGCTTGATCTGAGACTCGGGCAGCAGGAAGCCATAACGACCAGTGTCACGCAACTCGAAGGTGTACGAATATTTCACTCCCAGATCATAAGCCCAGTCGTCGGAGCCTCCAGCAGCAGGGTCTGAGGGCAGACAAGCAGAGAGGGATTATTCAGAGTGGGATATGCTGATGACTTGGGTCAGTCTGGGTGCATTTTTATGCAAATTGGGGGGTAAAAAATCCTTTGTTTGCTGGAAATTGCCTTGACTCCTGATTTCCTTTGAGGCAACAAAGGGTGCGTGTATGAACACATCAGAATGCATAATAGCAGAAGTGAAAATAGACCATCAAGGTTCTTTTCAATACAATATTTCCCTAAGGAGAGCAATGCAGTTGTACTTACAGATGGTTGTGGCACCAGGTCCACTGGTGTAGGTGGTGCCGTACAGACTACGCAGGGCAGCAGAGGCTCCCTCAGCAACCTTCATCTACGACACAGACAGAAAACACAAATATCAAAACCAACCGCCAGGTTTTTGAACATATAAAACCGAGATATATTCATATATATATATACCGCAGAATTGTACTTCTGAATTTACTGGCCCCTAACAGTTACCCAGCAATATCTAAAGTGAGGGACTATCAGATGCTGCTCATACCAGACCAAGCAGAACACCTGCGTGTAATGAGTTGAGCAACAGCAGCTTTCGCCGTGCATTGCTCCGCTTCAAACAAAACATGTTTGCTGATATTGAAGCAAAGGAGTAAACAGCTTCAGCGAGTTCCAGCAGGAAATTAAACCCTCAGAGAAATGCACGAGCAGGAAATGATATTTCTGGATGGACAGATGAGTTATGACGTATCCCCAGAGTTCTTTTTGGTTTTTTTGTTGTATTCTGTGATGCATAAGGACAGAGAGAATAAAATAACCAGTGAGTAATTGGAATAATAGAGGGGGGCAGAGACATGTGATCATGCCTGAGTTGGTGTGAGAGAGCCGGAGCAGGGGGGTGAGTGTTAACTACGCAGCCCCGCGGACACCCCAGTGAGAGGTAAAAGAGCCATGAGAATGAGACATGAGAGCAGGGTTGTAAATGATTTGCAGCAGCTAAGTGTGTCCTTTAGATAAGAGTCATAATGGGCTGAATTCCTGCTTCAGCTTTTGGAAACACCTTGGTGCTGGGAGGTGTTAGTTATATGATTGAAATAAGAACGTTTTGATAAGCTGATATTTTTTAAATCAAGATGCACATGTGTCCTATGATAAAGACACTTCCAATGCTTTTAATTCTGCGTCTAATTTATTTAATTCATTTATGTCAATAATTTTGATAAGAATATACTTTAATTAATTATATACCAATTTTCAAAACACAGTTACAAAGTTCTTCATTTCACAAATGCTTTATGACATGACTCTTATATTTCAATCTGTGATTATTAGTATTTCATATATATTTATATAGTTATTTGCTTTTGCCTATTTTTTAATTCTATGTAAAGTGTCTGAGCATTGTTAGGAGTGCTATACAATACTACTTTTATTAGTATATATTATATAATATTAGTAAACAAACAAATGATGTAGACATAATGTTATATATATATATATATATTAGTGCTTAATATTTTATGTTTATACAAATGAGGAGGCAGATTAATCTAAAATTTGATATACCCAACGCAGTGAAACTGTTCTTATTGCATTCAAGAATCTGTTATTTCAATATGTGATTTTTTATATATATATAGTTATTTGATTTTATTATTTTTTGTCTGAAAATTGTCTACAGTGCTATTCAAATTAAATGTATTAATATTATTAGTATTAATATATATAATATTAGTTAATAAACAAGGATGTAGACATAATCTGACGTGAACACTTCCAGCACGGCTGTGTATAGCTGCTCACTATAGTTATGCATGTGACACAGCCATGAAGAATAATTATATGGTCATTGTGACTGACCAGGTTTGTCTGTTAACACAGTCAGTACGTTAGTGACGTACCAGCTCGCTGTGGTCCGCTGCCAGCTGGTAGGTGTAGGAGTAGGGGAAGAGCAGCAGCTGGGAGTAGGAGTGGACGGTGAGGTAGGCCTTGATGATGGACCTGTTCCTGCGGATGAAGTCGGCAACGTTCTTGACCTCGATCTCGGACTCAGGAGTGTAACCGCAGAAGGTGTCGCTGCAGGGGTTGTCTGAGGCCCCCATTGCTGAAATTAAAAAGGCATCGTTGCAAAAGAGTAAATGTCAAAGTCTGAGAAAATCTGTCGTTGTGCTGTCGTCAGGTTTCTCACAGTTTCTGGTTGAGACGATACATTTATAACAGAAAGCAACATTTTTTTGTTGTTTGGCTTGTTTGTTTGTTTGCAAGCAAGATTATGTGAAACTTGGCGGAAGGGTGTGAAATCAGCCAGGGAAGAACCCGTTCAATTTTGGTGCAGATCTGGAACAGGGAACTGATCCAGGACTTTTTTAACACTTTCTTTAACATGGCAATTTCACCATTTTCTTTGGAAATAATTCATGGATCTTGATTTTAGGGATTTTAGTGTGTGTAATCTGTTGCAGCATGATTGAATTTAAGCAGACCATTCCACTGAGTACCATTCAAGTCAAAGATGCAACCGAATTGAATTTTAGGAAATGTAGCACTCCCACTTTATGTAAGTGCAACACTCCCTTGTGAGATATAGCTTTGTATATGTTACACTTACAGCACCAGCCAGCGTCGAAGTTCCTGTTGGGATCGGCTCCAATGCAGCTGGATCCAGATTTCCTGGAACGAGTTTTCCTCCACATCCTGTTCTAAAGTTACCAAGTGGATAAAATACTAATTTCAGACTTGCATTGAACAAATCAACTGATTCTCTAAGAAAACAATACATAACAGTCTCTGTTGGGTTGGAGTATAAATATATATATACGCTTGCAATTGGAACATACGCTCTTGTGGGTGAAGTCATAGCCATCAATATTGAAGACAGGCAGGACAAAGACATCCATCTGGTTGAGCAGGCTGGTCATCTGAGAATCACTGCCATAGGTGGACAGAGCCTGGGGAGGATTGTGGAAAAGGTTTGTGTTGTAATCAGAGGAAGCATCTGGATAAATGCTCGCCATGTCCATCCATGTGTCTTCCTTACCTCCTTGACAAACCACTGGCAGAAAGCAGGAGAGATCCACTCTCTAGCGTGAATGCCACAGTCCATGAAGATAGCGGGCTTCGTGGAGCTAGACTTTTTCCCAAGCTGTTAAACACAATCACGAAACATGCATTAGATGCAATTACACAGAAAATTAGAAACATTAATCACGTGATGCCTCAAATACCTTGAGAATGGTCATGGGACGTCCCTCGTAGGTGTTTCCGATCACCTGCTTGCTGATGAGATCGGGGTTGGAGGAGGAAATAGAGGCGATCCACGACTGGACCTGAAATTAAGCGAGACAAATAAGAGATATGAATAAAACCAAACAATCACGGGTCGAGATTTTGGCTGATAATGTTTGTGCTTTATACTTTGTCCAAGTTGTTGTACTTGGTGTAGCTGTGGGCTCTGGGAGAGGGCTTCAGATCAGCCTCAGCATCAACAGCAGACTGCAGATCCTCAATAAGGACCCTGATGAGGGATTAAAAATTTATTTTTAACTTTATGTGTAAAACCTAGATGCATCTTTTGGATCTTTGTCCTGTGACCTACTCGTGCTCCATGTCACTCTGCTGCAGAAGGGTGTAAACCATATCCAGGTAGATGGCGGGCACACGGATGTCCACATCAATATCGATTGTCACCAGTTGAGAGCTCTCGGGCCTCCAGAAGTCGACCTGCAGATGGCGCCAAAGTCAAGCACTTGAACACATTGCAACACTCTGTGGGCTATGGAATCCAAACACGTCACCTCAGCCTCTCATTTCACAAACTGAAAGACATATTAAATGTCAAAATACCAGATGAATTATTTGATCTAAGCATGCACGAAATTTAAAATCATTCATTGAGTAAATTAGGAGAATGAAGGTCCAGTTTCGCCCCTTCCACCATTAGCAGATCAGTGAAACCCCTGCAGTGAGTGAGGATAGCAGCTGTTTGGGTTGGGGGTGAGTGTGTGAAAGCATGGCAGGTACCTCGATGCTGTTAGCCAGGTCCCTAATGAGCGTCACATGCTCGTCAAACACAGGCTTCAGACGGAAGACCTTCTCCCTGGTGAATAACAACACAAAGATCACAAATAGAAGACACAGAAATGATGGTTTATACTACAGGTAATAGTGAAATGATACTATGAAAATACTGTGAGCCAAAAACCTGTAAAAATGTGGGAAGAGGGAAATGGATTGATTGATTAATTCAATTATTTAATGACACTGCAGCAGAGGTTTTTGGTTTTATCTATACACAAAAGTCTGAGTCACACCCCTGCATCATTTTTATAAGCCTAATAACTCTTATTTGCTTTATTTTTAAAATGCTAAATTCCACCTCTGAACTTCCATGAATAAGTGTTTGTGAATTGGAGTAAAAAAAATTACAGCTACAGTCTTTCTTGGAAGGCCTCCTCTCAGCTGATGGGACCAATGTTACATGTTAAATACCAGTGTGCACAAATATTAACGTTTACACAATTTAAATGAATTAAGTAATTGCACTGAATGTGAATGCTGGCTTTAATATAGTCTAGCCACATTACTGTGAAACACAGTATTACAGTCATAGATTCACATAAGAGAATGAATTGCAGTTTTCAAAGTTTACCCCTCGAAGCGAGCGTTGTCACACAGGGCAACAGCCACCAATCCAAAGAGCAGGAGGACCTTCATGTTGTCAGTGAGACTGATCTGGTCCCTGGACGGCTCTTATAACCCCCTGACCTGTCGCCCATCCACCAATCCCCATCTGGGATGCAGCAATGTGTCATACACCCTCCCCCCCATAATGTGCACCTGTTATTTTTAGGTGTTAGGTGGAGGAAAGGGGGGGGGGGGGGGGGGGTCCTGCATGATGCATAGTCAATGATTAATTGATGTGAGAGGTGCTTCGGGAAAACGTGGATCCAAAGCTATTTCATTAAAGAATCAGGACTTTTGTCATATTTTTTTATTTCATTCATATATATTCACAAACTGTACACTTACAGAGTAGAAAAAAAATATCAACATGTTTAAATATGACAAATACAACCACCATAGATATTAACATTGATTACCCAACATGGAGTGTGTGTGTGTGTGTGTGTGTGTGTGTCACTCTTATTCATACTGTGTGTTACATGGAAACAGCATTACAGGGAGTTATAAACACTTATCATACATTTTCACTCAGAGCTCATGATTTGACAGGACTATTTAACATATAGGCACAAGTTGTCGAATATGTTAACAGCAGGGACGATTTTACATCATGACTGGCTACATAGTTCCAATTGTTCATTGTACACAACTGATGGCAGAACACGCACGAGTGGTGAGCACATGATAACTTGTCCGATAGTTTGAGGACCTGAGGAGCACACAGAATGATTATCACTGCACAATATGTTACGTCACTGTATCCTCAAGGTATAATGGCAATGAAATCCTGCAGTACATACACATCTTATATATAAATAATGGTGAAAGCAAACTGTAATCATCTATAGATTCTATAGGTGTTTTTTCTAGCAGGGGAATTCTCTGTGCGCCCAATTCCTGTTTTTTTTTTCTTCTTTGTGACACTGACAGAAATGTTCACCTGCGTGGATGTGATAAGTGTTCGTGGTGACGTAGTAAGAGGGGAAAGATTACAACTTTACAGACATTCTCCATAGTTCAGTGCTTGTTAATACAGTTGGGGGTTTTAAAAACATGGAATGTCTCCACCCTCTTTCGTTTTTTTTATTTTTATTCACTTAACGTCAGAGGAGGCCTTACTTTTGGCTGTAAGACTCAGCGCCTCTGAGGCACGGAAGGACAGGGCGCTCATCTTGGAGCTGATGCTCGGATGAGGCCCAGTGGGTCCCCCTGGAGAGCAGCGCAACAGCCGCAGTAAGTTCTTGCGAAAGTTGTGCCCCACGAAGCCGTACACGATAGGGTTGACGCAGCTGTTGAAGTAGGCGATGCAGATAGTGAAGGGCATGGCTGTGTCAATGATTTCCAAGAGGGCACAATCCTTCTCCATCATCAGCTGGGTGAGCACCTGCATGAAGTGGAACACCTGATGGGGCACCCAGCACAGGAAGAAGGCCAGGACAGCTGCGGCGAGCATGCGCAGGACCTCGTCGTCCCTTGAACGGGAGCTTTTCTGGATGTGTCTCACCGCTTTCAGCGCACGGCCAATGAGGCAGTAGCAGGTTATGATGATGATGAAGGGCACCAGGAAGCCCAGCAAGCTTTTCATGAGGCTGATCGTGAGCAGGAGCTCCTTGAACCTCATGGTTTCATTATTCCCATGCAGAATGGCACACACTGTAGTGTTAAGGCTCGTGATGTTGTAGACATCCCTGGTAAGAGCTGTGGGCAAGCTGAGCACAAAGGCAAAGAGCCAGATCACTACGCAGGTTATACGTGCGTACACCACAGTGCGGAACCTGCGTGATCGCATTGGGTGCACAATGGCAAGGTACCGGTCGATGCTGAGCACTGTGAGGAAGAAGATGCTGGTGTAGAGGTTAAAGATCACCAGCCCGGAACTGGCCTTGCACAGGAATCCTCCAAAAGGCCACTGATAGCCCCTGGCGGCAAAGGTGGCCCACATGGGCAGAGTGATGAGGAAGGTGAGGTCAGAAACCGCAAGGTTGAGGACAAATATGTTGGCCACCGTCTTGAGCTTCATGTAACAGTAGATGACGGCCACCACCATGCTGTTTCCGACAATGCCGATGACAAAGTTACAGCCATAGACAATGGGTATCAGGGTGTAAAGAAATTTGTGGTTTCCAGACATACCACAATCCAACTCTATCCAGTCCTTCGCTCCTGCAGTTATATTCTGCATTTTCTCTTTTTAGTGCCAGATCCTGGAACTTTTTAAACAGAGGGACGTGTCAGCAGGGTGCATCTGTGGTGACTGATACAGGCCTTGGGCGAGGGCCTCAGCGAGTCCTATAAAAGAAACACAACAAAAATGTCACAGGCAGTCTAGGAGAGGAGCAGTCGTTACCGCTGGCATGGCCCATAAACGCTAATCCACACGAGCACCCATGAAAGTGCTCGTCCTACACCAGCTCATTAAAGACCTGCACATTAGAGCCATCCTGACGCTTTATGTTATTTCTGTAAAATAAGAAGCCATGAAAAACAGATGTTGCATGTTATTCAATATTCCAAAAATGCACTTTGAAGCGTCATTATTCAGACAGACTGCACGCTGCCATCTTCTTTAAATCGTCTCTCTGGCTAATGAACGGCAACAGTAAAATTGTACAGTGTTTTATCAAATGGTCCGTCCATCTGGCTGGACTGTCAGCACCCGGAAGGAGAACGTTTATGCCTCGTGTTATGACCTGCGTTAATGAAGGCTGCATGGCAAAGCGAGAGCTTGGATAACAACGCCATTTAACACTGAGGTACTGAGGGAGCAGGGAGGAAAGCGAAAGAACGGGTTGAGGCTCCAGTCACTGTAAAAAGACATGTCACGTTTCAAACCCTCGGTGTGCAGAGATACATTGTACCCAGCATGAGAACTTCTAATCAGCACACACCTAAACAAACAGGACAGCAGGGATTCGGCTCTGTGGAAACTTTGCTCTGTGAGAAAATAAAACCTGCGTGCTGCGGAAAATCTGCCTCAGGGCGAGTTTTTGGTTCATTTGTATGAGCTGAATGTGAAATGGGGAGAAAAAAAAGGAATGAAATTCTCCCCTTTGTTTAGAGTCTTTATCTTTAATAGAACAGCTTAGTGAGCATCATTAGCAGGGCTGATGTAATAATATTAGCATAAGCCTCATGTATAATGTTGCTGTGGATGCAAAGTCACTAATTACTTGAAAATTAAAACACTTTTGTGATCATATTAAGATCAAATAAACCTGCTTTGATAATGGAGCTCAGAAATGGACATACCTATTATACAACATATTATGCTGTTTTTAGAATAGATTTTAGAATAGGAAGCTGGATATTTTCTTTTTTATTTTATTTGATGTTATTTAATTTGAATAGAAATAGAACCACCACTTTGACTGAGCTAAGGAGGCGTCCAGCCACAAGATGGCATCATAACATCAGGATGTTACTCTTCCATTAAAGTCAAATTATAATCTACAACTTATAGGAAAGATATATATTTATTTTGACAATATTGAAAAGTTGCTTTTTCCCTTAGTAGAAATCTGCTACTGTTGATGACTACATGAATACCTTTTAAAAAACGTCCCGGTCTGCATTCCTGCTGTCCTCTGGTTGGCATTAACACAGTCTGAGCCCCTCCACTAGAACTATTTTATCTCCAAGTCTGAGATCTCCTCATTTTCCACAAGGTTGCAGTGGATGAATTCTTTAAAACAGAAAAAAAAAAACCTTCACTGCACTAAAGCAACAGCCGTATCGGTTGCAGATGTGGGGATTGTTGAGTGTGGAAGATGTGTGGGTGCCAAAGGCAACACAATAATGAAATATCTCTGAGAGTTTCCTGCACAGGCCAGAGTGCAGTTGGTGTATGGGTAAAGTACCAACACAGATGTCACTGCTAAGATTTGCTGTACGTGTGTTTTCTCTCTTTAATGATTATAACAGTGGGTGGCTGTAAATTTAAACCCACAGACGAGAGCAACAAAACACATATCGTAATTTGAAGATTTGAGAAAATGTCTCTGCTATAGAAGACGTCAGGTGACCACAAATGGAAATATGGCAGAAAATGGACGCTGCATGCCTTTTACCATTATTGGAAGGCTTGGCATTTTAGCACGCTAGTATTTTTCCATGAGGGAGATGCTCGAGACGATTGGATGTGTGCCGTGAGTGAAAATAAACACAGCTGAAAGTTATTGCTGCATATATATGTAAGTGAGCCCGGTAATAAAGGTGAGGTGGCACAGGCAGAAGGTGACGCAGAAGCAGGTGATTTCGTCCGGTAAGCTCGCACATTACTGAACGACAGCCATAAACCCTGAGTGATCACAAACAGGAAGGTAACTCCACAAGGTCCGCGAGCCAAGCTGCATCCTCTCGGACAAGACAATGGACGAGGCCCCGTGCTGTTTGCAAACACAATGAATAAGATCACATCTAGAAGGAAGTACAGGGAGTTTTTCTGCAGCCATGCGGTGGCCCAGTCCTGAGTGACACTGCAGTAGCAACATTCCAGCTATAATCCCACTCCGGGGTTTTTAAAAACAGCCACTTCCTGTGATTTCATAAATTTTTTTTTTTTAAATCTAGAAAAGTTTAAGACAAGTCTGAGTTCCCATCAACAGAGCTATCTGCGGCCTGAGCACCTGACGGCTCCAACATGAGCACCACCATCTGGCTGGCCTGAGAGCAAGCCACTAAAACGTCTGGTTGATGGAGTTAATGATTTATATCAGCCCATTATAAAGTGAGGTTCATCTTACTGGGAACACACCAGCTCCGCTGCTCGCCTCATGATCACTCGCTCCTTTAGGCCTTTAGGTCAACACAGCGTTCTGCAACAAGTGCTGCTTTGAACTGGACCTTTAGTTTCCTGTATCTTCTGACAAATTACCAGAATACAAATGTAACACCTATCTACCCACATCAACAAACTTAATTTCTCACTCACTCCCTGAAGAGGTATAATATCACCCTGAGGGTGCAGAGCGCCTCATGTGTAGCCTCCTACATCTCACTTCCTCCTGTCTCATCTTACACGGAGTCACTGCAGCTTGTAGGAAACTTGACCAGCTGCAACTTCTTTTAAAAATGCACCAAACAACACACTTCTCATTTACAAAACATAGATACACCACATACTGTATGTGTAAAGTGTGTGTTACTGAAGCCAATATTTTCATTATCTCCTCTGCAGGACAGAGAGGCATGTGTGTAATGTTCATATTTTTCAAAGGACAAGTTTGTCAGTTTGGTGCATTTTTAAAAGAAATTGCAGACGTCTTAATTGAATGGCACCACAACAGTTTAGTGAAGTTGCTGTTGGTCAAGTTTCCTCTACTTCAAAAACTCTTTAGCTGAAGTGATTCCCTGTAAGATACGAGACAGGAAGAAGTGCGATGCAACGACACACTTCTCATTAAACATCTGTAGATTTGACACATGTGTATTAAGTGTGTGTCTGTGTGTGTGTGATGGAGAGAGAGGGGGACAGTGTTCTTCAGGAGAGGAGCTAATGGAAGCATTGGCTTCAGACACCATGCCTTCATTTTTCTGTTTACAAAACTCCACGTTCATGTGACTTGCACAATCAAACAGCAGCGGAGTCTGTGTGTGAAGCTTTCCCCTCATTTCCTGTGATGCAATGAACAGCAACAACAGAATATATCAACTCATTGAAATAATAGTGGGGAAAAGAAGCACCTATAAGGGAAACATAAATAACTCTTGGTGTGTGATTCCTTCCTTCTCTTTCTCAACATGTTCAGTCTCTAATATCACGTATCATTTCTCTTTTCTTCAACAGTCTCTCTCACTGATGAGGCTGAAAATGTAATTTCTTTTCTCCAGCTTTCCCATCACTGTTATTCCACTGCTCTCTTCACTCTCCCCCATTTTCCCCGTCTGTCTCGGGGATTACATTTTTCATCAGTGAGGATTTTCAAAGAGCGCAGAGCAAGTGTTTATCAGGAAGTGGATCCAGTTATTTGTAGCCATATGAGACCAGGTCATGTAAGAGTAAAACTTTTCGCTCAGACCTTCATCCCTCTCTTCATACAGTGTGCACAAAGCAGACCAGGGCTTTTTCCCATCGCTGCTGCACAGCTACAGTAGCTGCATTAAAGGCTCTGCACACACAGGACTTTCACTTGAACAAGTTGAACAAACAGCAACAACAGGTGGCAGCGGACAATCGCTGAATGCATCTATAATGTGCAATTTAGTTTTCTTGCTTTCATTCCATGCAAGTGTGGCTTCCAGAGATAATATCAGTGATTTTGAGCGAAGGACCTATAAGATAAATATTTACAGAAACATTTTGAGATGTCTAAAATAGAACAAGTATTTTTTAAAGTGGGTTAGATTCAATTTCTCAGAATAAAGTAACGTGTGATCTTACCTGTGGTGCTGAACCAGGAGGCTGCTGATGCTCTCGGAGCAGAGAGACAGAGGGAGACAGAGAGACCACCGCAGTGTGCCAGTGACCGCCTCTGATTTAACTTAACTGGTGGAGCGAGACGAGCAGGAATACCGTCTGACACACAAACACATTCACCCACCCACTCGTACTACGCTTTCTCTCTCTCCCACACACACACACACACACACACACACACACACACACATGCACAATAATGAATGAATTATAGTGGAGGGAGTCAGCTACGCATTGTCCCAGCCCAACTCTCTCTGGCCAAGAGTCTACACACACACTCACACACGCATTAACAAACTCACACAAGATCTTACACAATAGTACGTGTTGTCCTCTCCTCTCTCTCTCTCTCTCTCTCTTAATGTCTGCTTTTAATCACATACACTCTCTCTTTCCAAAGAAATGTATTGCTGCTCTTGACAGTTAACGCTGATTAAAGTGCCACATCTGGGCCTGTGTGCTGCACAACCCTCTGAGTGCTTTTAATTCAGCGACACAGTTTAAGTAACCACACACACTCGCTCGCACCTTGCACTTTGGGCAACTTTACTTTTATTATCTCGACCACCCCTCTTCTTCCACTAGTATCATCTCTCATCCCATGACAGTCCCCTGTCGCTTGTCGTCTGCACAGCATGAAAGGGATGTCCAGGCTCTGATTGTGATTGGACCTGTCGACACACAGTATTAATAGCTGCCTCCAGCTCGCCCTTGGCTTGGATCAGGGTCTATCAGGGGGCGAAGCAAAGGGGAGCTTGCGAGGGTGGAGCGTGGACTTTTCGTTTATTTCCCGATTTCTAGTGTGTGATTCAGTTGTCACTCATTTGTCAAGGTGGATGTATATTGTTAGGAGTGAGTGAATGTGTGTGTGTCTGACAACTCCCCACGGTCAAGCTCTCTTTGTCCAGACTATTTAAGTGTGACCGAGGCCCTTGCTGCTGAATGTGACCAGTTTAACGTTACTAAAAACAACAATCTCATGTGTGATTAAAGAATTTGATTGACAAGGAAAGGAAGGTATTCGAAGCGTGCTCACTCTGCGGTTGTGTAAAGCAGCTGTTATAAGAAGGCATCACTATTTTTGGAAACGCCAAACATCCATCACACACTGTTTGGTGCTATAGTTACGTGTCCCTCACTATTCTTTCTTTCTCAAGGTCCTGACAGTGTTGAGAAGTGGGTCACATCCTCACCTCTCTTGCAGCTGTCACGGAGATGGATAGTGATGGATGAGGCGGCGTGGCTGTCATCCCCTAAACCCCCTCAGTTTCAGTGTCTGCAGTGTTGACGGTGAAGAAAGTCATCACCTGGGATGAAGACAAACAAGGAAAGAAAGGAAAAACAAACACTTAAGGCTGAGTGGAGGTCCTGTTTGGTGGCTTTTGCTCAGTCAGGTGTGACCGAGTCTTTTGAGAATGATCACATTTACCGAGCTGTCTGTGGCTCTGAGCCTCGCGGAGGTCACACAGGGTCAAAAGGCAACAGGTACAAAGATCTGGCAAACTTTCTGAAAATACATGACATGCTGCTCACTCTTTATTCGTGTCATTGCTCAGGAGGGGCAGGTTGTGGAGGAGAGTAACTCACTTTGCACGGCAACAGAGCCATTTACACCTCCAGGAGATTATGATCCTGCTCCATTACGTCTTCTGTTACTGTGAATGATAAGAATCATCCATTAGGCAAATGTTTTCTTATTGCATATCCTGTCACAGCAATGAAAATCTGTATGGTATCATATCATCTGTACGGCCTCGCTCTCGCCACCACAAGAATAATCAACAATCTATATCTGAGCCATGAGACTTCTCAGGAAGGGAGGAAAGTTATGTGTCAAGCTTTGCCTCTGTGTTTTCCACAAAACAAATAATTCCCTGTAGGGATAGGATGCTGTTGCAACACTCCGCACTACAACATTGATTCACACTCCTCAGGTACAAGCAGAAACAGATTTTGACAATTTAAAAAAAGAAGCTGGGGAGGGGGGGTAGATGGGAAATGACATTTCCTTTGAGACTGTACCTGTTCAGAATGGATGGGTGGTGTTTATTTAAAGTTTTGGGTTACAAAGTGAAAAACTCAATGCCCTGAAAATGAACTCAATAATTCACTCTGAAAAAAACACATACATAGCTATTCCAAGAGTATTTGTGAATGTTTGTGTTGCAACATTTGGGAATCCGATGGCAGAATCCAAGGGATATGATCATCTATCATGTATTGGGTAATACGTCATTTCTGGGTGAGTGAGGCCAGAAAAAGGACAAGGCCTCATCTCAAGTGCTCATACCCTGGAGCTGTGATTGTGGGGGATGTTCTTGCCAATCAAATTCATGTAATGAGATTAGCTGTGTTAACACTTAAGCTGTAGTTGAATGAATTGATGACTGGGGTAATTACTGGTAGCACACAGCACTGCGGGGAAGGATGCACCTTTTACACCACGACAGCACAGGCTCTAAAATGCCAAACTGACACACGGCCACCTGCTGACGAAAGACAATACTCTGTGAGGTCTGGAGCTCGGATTGTAAACCGCTGACCAATGCTGACTGCTGTGTCATCTTAATACGCCTATAAATATATTTGACATGTTTACAAGTCTGTAGTGCTGCATGGTTTCCATCAAAAGACCAGTGTGTGAATCCATTGCATTTTAACTAGTGACAAGGGGCCAGGCTGAATTTGATTAAAATAAAATCATCACGTTGGGGAACATTTTTTTCCCTCACATGTTGCTCATTAGTTTCAAAATTGAGCGTTGCACAAACTGAGCGTGTTTTCAAACACAAAGATCTCTCCTCATATAAGACAGCGAACTTGAGAGCAACCCTGAATACATGTTTAGGATTTGGCTGCTGTGTTTTTTAAATTGGGTTCCCCCAGTTTTCCTTTGTTGAATCCTCACTGATCCCAAACAAAATGCACACATGAAACTTTTTCTCGGTGGAAATCAGGGCAAAAAAAGAAACCTGCAGAGGAATGACACTAACCATGGCTGCGCTCCAGCTAACACCTCAACATCATGAAACAATTCATAGGGTTATTAGATACACCTGTGTTTGACAGGCTATATTACATGCAGAGGGAAAAGGTCTGTTCAACGTTACCTTTTTAGGTATTGCCAAAGTTTTTTCATTGATCCACTGGGATTTATTTTTCACAAAAACACGTGCTGGCTCAGGGAATCCAATGTAATGACAACACGCAAGAGACCGAGACAAGCGAAGAAATCAGAGAAAGTTGATACGTGATTACAAAATAATGCTATGAAGCAAGTTTAGGCTACGGAAGAGTAGAAGGGTCAGGCATTGCATTTTTTTAAGTTTTGAGAATAAAGTCATAATGTTGCTCAGGTCGATCGAACTCAAATAGAAGAGTGACTGACAACTATAGAGAATTTCAAGTTTATTTTCAACATTTTGACTTTATTCTCGATATAATGATTTAAAAAAGTCTGTGATGATTTAGTTTGACTCAATTCTCAACATTTCGACCTATTTATCATCATTTCCTTATCTACCTATTTATCTTGTGTCCTTGTCCTATTCTGTGTTTTTATTCTTGTTTTTATTTTCAGTATTCTATTGTATCCAAATACCGGACTGCTATGATGACCTAATTCCCCTTAGGGGATGAATAAAGCAATCTATCAATCAATCTATCAATCAATCTATCTATCTATCTATCTATCTATCTATCTATCCATCTATCTATCTATCTATCTATCTATCTATCCATCTATCTATCTATCCATCCATCTATCTATCCATCTATTTCTACTTAACTCTTAAGCTTTTGGACTTAAGATGGAGACTTTACTCTCAAACATTTCGACACACTGTCAAAGAAATGATCTTCCTGTTCTCCCTCCATCATTTCATTAGCTTGGCCCTAAAACCCTCACGCATGTGACACACACCTGGCACTGCCTCACGATACACAAAGAAACTACCCACCTTGAACGCACCTTTCTACGTAAGGCGGGAAATTTAAACTAAGCCCCGCCCCCATTCTCGCCATGACAGAAACGGGAAGCGGCGATGCAAACAGCTGTTCGCTGGCCCCGTGTGTTTGTAGCCTATCATGAGCTAACTCTCCTGACAGCTTCGCCACCTCGTCGCTCCAGGAAACATCTGATGCCTGTTGCTTCTCCACTGAGGGTTTCTTCTCGTCGGCTTCCAACCTGAGCTCCGGAGCGGAGGAGGACGTTTCCAGCCGCCGATGTTAGCTCCTGCTTCACCACGGTAAGGAGCTGGCTGCTTTGCTAACATGTGATTCGTTGCTCTGGCTTTGCTCTGTTTGTGTTTGTGCTTCTTTGCTGCTGCTGCTGAACTTTCCCGTTCAGCTTCTGTCTGTTTGTGCTCATGGTCTTTGTGGTTTGGTTTATTTTAGTTTGCTGTTGGCTGAGCTTTGATGCTGTTGCTCTGCATATTGGTGGAATATATGAACACTCATGTTTGAGTTGGCTGCTGCTACTTTGCTGCTACTTTGCTGCTGCTGCTGCTGCTGCTGCTGTTGCTGCTGTTGCTGTTGTTGTTGTTGTTGTTGCTGTTGTTGTTGTTGTTGTTGCTTTGCTGCTGCTTTGCTGACGGTTTCTTGCTGCACCTTTGCATTTGCATGCTCCCATTTCATCATGTTGTGAAGTCGTTGTTCTGATTACAAGTGTTCAAGTGTTTTGAAGTCACGCTGTGGAAAAACAACATGGACATGGTTGAACTGTGTTGTGTTTATGTGTTTAGGGCATTGGAACAGCTTGACGCCTATTTTCAATGTGAGTATAATAACAACGATCAAAGAAAAAGTGCGATCATAGAAAAAGTCTGGTGTTTATTGTTTGTAAGAGCTCCGAGTCTTGAGGTGAAGTTCATATTAATTTTCCCACTCAACAAATTTGCGACACTATGTCAATGCATTTTGTCTCTCATTGCAATGTTGGGTATCGCAGAGAGCTGCTTTCAGACACGCGCTGAACTCCGGAGAGTCTCCACACTATTTCCGGTGGAGGTGCACGTGTGAAAGCAAAATGTCCGAGCGTCCGATTGAGGTTAAAATCCCATATCCAATTCTCCGGACTCCTCAGGTCATGTCTGAAAACAGCTTAATGTGACAGCTTGCTTTTTTCTTCTTCTCATGCTCATTTCCTGCTTGTGGTTTAAGCAGTTGCAACATTGGCTGGTTGCATACTTGTCCTGGTGGTCAAAACACTCTTATTGCTGCTGAATAACCTTTTGTAAGTGATTTGTCTGTGCATTGCTTTTCTGATTATTTGCAAACTCTAAAACGGAGAGAATACTGTCTCCTGCAGCGGCTGTTCGTGTACACTATGCGTCTTTTCACTTAAATATGTTGTTGTTAATCTAAACTATGTGAAGCTTTTCATATACACCACGTGTTGCTGTGACTAGGAATGTTTATTATTATCATTGCTCCCCATCCCCTGCTTTGCTGAACTTGGTGAATACTTGCAGAGATTGATGAGGTCAGAGTGTAGATGCCAGAGATGAACTCTGTATTCTCATGAATCCATGTCTTGTCACTTGGGTACAGAACTCCTCATTTCTCCTCACAGGTCATTAAGACAGGGGAAACATTATTTTATATATTAAAAATAATCAATCAATGCCAAAACATATATACCATATATTGACACACCCTTTTTACGTGGACAACAACATGTAGACATGAAAATAGATGATAATTTAAGTATTTATCAGCTGTATCTGTCACACAAACTTCTGCAGTAGTGTTCAGAACATATGAACCCCATGTTTAGGATTGTCTTTACTGACGACGCCATTTTGTACATCTGGCTATAAGTCTAAATGACTGAGAATTATTTTTCATTAAATATCCTTTTTTGTAGCTAATGGAGACTGGACTCAGATAAACCACCAGAACACTTTTTTTTAGAACGTGTATTTTATTCAGTGGACACTGTGTCGTGCTTCATATAGACATAACAAACATCCATCTGTACAGAACTCATTTCTGGGCCTCTTGACAGGCCTAAATATCCAGCCCTACATAAATCACCCTGTGATGGCCCATAAAGGACCTGTCCAATGTGACTTTAACAAGCATTTTATTTTCTTAGTGTGCTGTGTAGGTGTCAAGGACAACTCTCGCACCATCCCTCTGGTGCAGTCAAGGCTCAGAAAATATTTACTGCATCTCACACATTGAACGGACCTGCCTTGTTAGCACTGCTGTCCGCATCCGCCGCACTCAAAAAAACTGTACTTATGTGGGAGGACGAGAGGGAACGTGAACAAAGAGTAAGAGAACGGAAAACGTTTTGTCACATCAGCTGTGTATTTTTTCCTGTTTGTTACAGTAAGGAGCGAGGAATACGTGTACAACCTGTAATCACTCTAGTTTTGCTTTGACCTTTTGCCTGATTGAATTTCAATTCCTGCTCAGCGTCACGGAAATCACCGACCTCCAGGGGTCGACCCCGGAGATGTAAAATTATATGGCTGCTGCAATCCTCTCCATCGGGGCAAAAGAACAGATATGTCAAAGACAAATCTATTATACAAACAGGAAGTGTCTAAAAGATTGCAAGAGAAAGTGGTGGGAAGGCCTCTACCAGGCCTCTAAGAGTGACATTGTTTTGGTCTGAGCTCCCCAAGGTTGCAGTTATACATGTACACACAGGGAGGGACGGGAAAATACTGGAGGGGTGGGGGGGAGGCTCTGAGGGAGGCATGCTCCATTTCAGTGTAACCTCTCCCGTGAATATTTTTAAGCCCTTTATTAGATCTGTAGTGGATTAAGAAAGGAAAAAGTAATGGGCATTTGTATTTCCTCTCGTCTTGGTCCTGGAAGGTTTATCAGTCGCATGACCTTTGTATTAAATGAGACAATGAGCTGTCGTTCAGACGTATTTAGCTTCCTTAAGGTACGATCTGTCGAGCCGAAGGTGCATTAAAGACTGAGATAATGGAGGAAGAGGCAGTGTTGCCTTCAAGCAAGGAAGTGAGTGCTGCTGCTCTCAAGGTTTGATTCTGTTTATTAAAGCGATTCGTCATTATGTTCAGACATCGCAGACACAGGCTGGAAGAGTGTAAACAAATAAATTTGCCTTTATGTGCTTTCCTCCTTAATAGTTCCTTATTTAACACGTTATTAAAGTCAAGTGCTCAGTTTCATTACGTCGGTTATATTTTCTTTTAAGTTTAGTGACAAGTGTTTTTTAAACTTTCTATAAGGCCGTATCTGAAAGTGGTGGTGGCAAATCCAAAATTAACTTTTTAGAAGAACATAGAGTGTCTAAATAAGTTTGCCTCATGATCCAGCAGAGGGCGATACTATCAGCATGACCTATTGTGTTAATTATTATTCATTGTACGTTGTTTAGCCTCAAAAATGGAAGATGCTAGCACGCAAAAGCTTTAGTCTGAGTGGACAATCATGGACACCAAAGCATCCGAAGCGGTGTGCATTAAATGGTTGTGTTTTACACCGTAGATGGCAAATTAACGAATAAAAAATGCTGTCAACTTTGTCCCATGAAATTACCTCATTCTTCCATGACAACAAGTTGAAGGCTCTTATCTTGTCACCTCAAATTCATTTGAACTTGATTATTGAAAAAAAAAAAAGCCCTATGAGGCTGTGGTTGTATGCTATTCGGCTGTTAATGTTTGTGTTCCTGTAGTAAAGTTCAGGGTGTGTGCAAGACGACAAAGTTTCATCCGCACAAGGCTGCACTAAGGGTCTGGAACCTGTTCTTATCCTCAGCCAGGCCTTCCTTATGTAAACAGCATGTGAACAGCATTGAGCTTTCTTTCTCACCCATGACCCTCACTTGTAAAACATTCATAACCAGGCAGGGGACCATTACTGAGGACCTGTGGAGTAAATTCAAATTGATACAACAACATTTCTGCTTTTAAGATGCATCTGCGCTTCAATATATCTGAGACTTTATGTACCGTATCACAGCTTGTACCCACTGTCCCTTCTCAAACCACCTCCGGCCATGCACTTTCTCTCTGGGACTGCTGGGGAATTTGGGCTCAGCTGAGTCAATAGCCCTGGGGCCCTACAGACCGTATAAACACCCCCGTCCTGCGGGAAGAGGGTGACTCGCGCCATGCTGGCGATGTTTTGTCATGTCCTCATCTCTGTAGTAACAAACAGATTAGTCTATGACAGACGTGTTCGGAGGCAATGGCTCAGTCTTCTATAACCTGCTGGTACAACAAATAAACAGACTGTATTTGTTTTAACATGTTTTTTTTTTTTGTTGAAAACTTATTTTTATTAGTGATGAGTTTTCACACCAGTTGAGGAACTCATCAAAATATTTAAGATGCATTTATCTGTTCTCCACCCAAATATACTCATGATGTTCTAGTCATATTTCCAAAATAGGGCTAATTCCATAGCTTCGATCTCAAGTTTGGAAGTGTGACCATGTTTCATCCGTTTCCTCATATTAAAAACTCTTCTGCTTGAAGTCCCCACTGCTGCATGCTGTAGCTTCATGGACATCCTATAGAAATACAGTCAGTTTGGAAAACAATGAAAATTTAAAATCACAGCTTTTATTATTATTCTGGTTTATTCAGTTCAGAACCCATCATTATGAGCAGCCTTATGAAATGAAGCTACATTGAAAGGGGGAAATTCCACACTATTATCATCATACAAAACATAATTTATCCATCTTCAGTCCCTTTATCCCTTGTGTTTTATAAAGTGATAACTAAATAAAACATTTTTACAACACCTTTGTGTATTATTGTATTCTGATTCCTTTCCTGCTCTGCATGGGAATAAGCACAGATATCAACTCTATATTTAGAAAACCAGATTCAGAATGCTCTGAACTTGCATCCTTCAGTTCTTCTCTGTTCGTCATCAGGTTCCTGCAAGTTGGTCGCATATTCTGGGACGCCAAGTTCACTTGACCTTAAAGTAAGCAACAGGTCAAGAACTTCAGTTCTGAACAGTCTACTGGCCGATCTCTCCAGTCCTGTTTCGTGCTCTGGTCTGCAGATAGAAGCACATTAGAAAATACTGTGCGTTTATGATTCGGCTTAATAACTTTGATGGAGACGCAGATGTGTGATTCTGTTCTGTCTGCTGACTTGTAAGAAGACAGTAGTTTTGAACATTTTGACTGCCTTCAGTTCCCAGCATTTCCCGCTGAGGTGGCCTTGTCTGGGCAGTTTGTTTTGACTGTGTTTTGAAGGAGTGCCAGTTATTGGATGGCACCATGCAAGGTCTCGTAATCAGCACATAGTCCCAGGAAAGGAGGAGCCCAATTTGGTTTCCAGTTTACTTTTCCATGCTCTTTTTAATTTAAGGGGACATCTTATAGGTCCTGTAATGTGAAATATGTCCTGGAGGAATATGTAGGCATGGGATAATTTCAGTAGGGATGAAAATAATCTGTTCAGGGAATGAATTCCCTGGTTGCCTAGAATTGGGTGTTCAACAGGGAACGTGAATCCCTAGAGAACAAAAGTCTGTCAGAGTTGAACATCTAATGACTCTTGGTCTCCACCCACACCTTTGTGATCTGGAGGGAGAAATAAAGAATTCAGCCTCTAGGACCTCAACATGGCATCTTTAGCACAGATAATCTGTGTTCACGATCTCTGCAGTTTTTTTTAAAGCTATTTTAGAGACTAAACTATGATCATAGAAAAAATAGGTAACATCTTTCCCTATGTTTCAAAATGTATTAAAGTTATTGTATTTTTCTTTGTGCGTAAGAGAGGAAGTTTAGTGCTCAGTTCAAATTGCTTCATGGAAACCAAATTCAAATGTTAATTGGTCCATTGTGACATTATGCAAAAGTGATTTTGGCTGTATTCAAACATGATATTAAGTATTTAACTGCGGATTAACATAAAGAAGAATATTAAGTTCCAGTCTGCCTCAAAGTGCTGGTTCGATCATTGAACAGCATCTAAATAATCTCACAGTGAGAAAATAATTAGGTTTTGAATGCATGCATACTTTACATGAACCTGTACTTCATCTTATGGGAGGCGAACATGTTTCATGTTCTCAAGACAAAGGGCGTACAAGGTTAATTTTATTAATTGAAGTGAATAGAGGAGAGTGGTATTGCAAACCAAAGCATGCAGGAATTCTGGAGCTTTATAGCGGGGATATTGTGTATTCCTGAATACTACAAAGACTATGTCTCAATGAATCATTTGACATTTTTTTATTATTCTGCAGGAAAAACCCTGAATATTTCATATGGGGTTACATTTTAGTTTTTCATGTTTTTAGATGTTTAAATAAATATAACTGCTCATGCTTACAGTTTGTACCCATAAACTTTGAAACACAAGACCGATGAATGAAACAATTGACTCCAACTGAAATGTTGCACACATACGCACAGTGTTTGAATAAATAAAGTCCTTAAAGGTACAGTGTGTAGAATTTTGTGATGTCTAGTATTGAAATTGCATGTTGCAGCTGAACACCCCTCACCTCACCCTCTCCTTCCAAACATGAAAAAGAACCTGTGGTAGCTTCAGTTGTCATAAAAACTCAAAAGGTGTTTAGTTTGTTCAGTCTGGACTCATGTAAAAAAACATTGCGTCCTCCGTAGAGAGGGTCCCCTCGATGTAAATATAAAGTATTTAAATATAAAGGGCCTTTTCTGGGGTAAAGAAAACTATAATTCATACAATTTAGATGAAACGGACTAGTGAAAACATCATGAGAATTGTTCTACATCAAATTTCTGACAATAGTTCCCTTTCACCTAAATCTTACACACTGGACCTTTAAGATGTTGCATTAAAGTTTTTTTTTCTTGTATCGATTCACCATAAATATCCCTGCTTTTCTGTTTTAGATTAACCCTAAATGGCCTGTTGGCAAGCCTTTTTAAACTCCAGCACATGAAAATACTGTATTATCTGTGCAAATCGTTTGACTCAGAGGTGACTAATAACCGTAGATGCTAACCCAACAGCTTGAAAAATAGCTGTCATACTATATGCTGTTATTATGGATTGGAATCCCAGGCTCCTAAATTGGTCATAAGAAGCATGTACTTTGTGATTATCAGGGGAAAATAACAGAGCATTCAGCTGCCCCATGCAAGCTTGTACGTTGTGTTTGTGAGGTCAGTTAACCCCCGCTGAG